CAAAAGCGAATAGTGAGCACAGGCACGGATCTAGGGGTGAGCTGGATGGGTTGCGCACCCTCACCCCTCTTTTTAGATGACCTGCGGCTTTCTTATATAGCTTCACGGTTATACAGAGTCTGCTGCATAGTTTCCTATGTATTCTCAGCAGTTCACAATGTTATTTTCTGGTCATACGACTTCTACTACTTTTGTTTTTCGCTTTTAAAATCTGCTTCTGTCATCCGTCCGTTAAGTATTCCTTAGCGGTGCACCCTCTTTTAAGAAAACTCCTGAATCCACCTCTGAAGCGTGACTAAGGCATGGATGAAACATGCAAACGCAATGGTAATGGGGCTGATGTGATATTCCCTTTGCGTTTCACTTTCTATCCGTTTGCTTAGGGTTAGGGTTAGTAACAAACGCGGTATTTTAGGAAAATGAATAAAGTTTGACAATTACGAGCGGAGGACGTGAGATTTTCAAATATTGCAAATGAACTTAACAATTGAGACTGATCAAAACACACCAAAACTGACATGTTGCAAGCAATGAATACTTCGAGCGACCGCTTAATTAATAAAAGTAGTAGTAAAAAAAAGTGGATTACATGACAAAGACAAGCCCTGAAGTAGGGTAAAACGCATTCAAAATATTGCTGTTGTTACAACAATGAAGTTTTCTTCTGTGGAAAAAGGTGAACAAAGCGCTGACAAAATTCGATTACGAAGCATAACAAAAAAAAAATTTAATGCCAGTCTTAAAGCTGATAGTGTGGAATTTGTGCGTATGCCGTCACTACAGACGTATCCGCTGAATTACGATGATTTTTGGCTATCGCGAAAACTACTTCAAAGACGGTTTGCTTTTATAAAAGAATAGATATGTTTCGAGCCCACTAAGCTGGGCCACTCCTTAGACCGCGACAACTTCTCCCTCCCGTTTTACGCCTTCCACAAATGTAAGCAGATCCTATCACTCATTTAAGAACCTTATCATTGTATCGTTGTCCAAAATAACTTCGCAGAAATAACTTTGAGGAATGAATACGCTATACGTTACCGTTAATTTGTGTTTTAGAACGGGAGATAATGGCACTTTCAAATGATTTATTGATATAAACCTGAAAAAATTCCGGCGGATGCTCTCGCATTTTACTAAGTAATGCAATCCGTGATAATCTCCTTTAATTGCATCTCGCCGCCTCCCTGGCAATGCTCCTCAACAATCTAGCATATTATGGTCTGTACAGTCAAAATTATCACCTGTGTATGGTTTGAATTGTCTGAAATTACCATACCTAATTTCCTCAACATATTGAGCGAGATGCATTAATCGAAAATCTATTCCTTCACTCGGCTGTTGACCTTAGGGGATTTCTCTTCTACAGAGAATGCCGTGACAGAAATGAGTAACGCTAGTACAGCGGATATTGAAAAGAAACTTAATATGTTGTGGTAGACGTTCTGTTGAGTACTCACACACTGTCAATGGCATCCAAGTGAACAATTATGGTTTGTAAAATTGTTGTTGTTAAAAGTCTCCTTCTCTTCTCTTTACTGGTGAGCATCTACGACCAGTCGGCTGGTAAGTACGATAGCTCTGCTTTGAGAGGTTACGCGAAGGTTCAGAGACTTTTTCAATCGTTAGGGGGGAAACAGTTTGTAAGACGTGAAATTAGCTACAAGGCACATGAATGATTTGAAGGGTAATGACAACCGCATAATTAAAGAAAGACCCAGATACACGAAAAACGAAAAGATGATCGGAGAAGATGAATAAGACCGCTATCAGAAAAAGGAGTAAGACACTTATTACTCTGTTTATACTGACTATTCGGCGGATTGTTGCCTAGAATCGAAATCTAATCTTCTTTGGCTTATTGCTGCTTTTCCCATTGAGATACTTATGGCTCTTATAAATGATGAAACATTAATCCTATCTTTGAGTTGCTCGCAGTCATCCTAAAAGAATATTTACATTGCCAGCCGATCTCATGTCGTGGAAGAAAATCACTCGCAAAACTTTACAAGTTTACTCACGTACATACTGCTTTTTGTTCATTGTCTTCCTATCAATAATATCTCTTATGCAATTATTATGATTCAACGCTTACACGTCAATCTACTTTGACAAATTCACTTCTAACGTAGATAGATTCTGGTGTAACTTGAATGATTTTGTCCTATTGTTTAAGTTCAAAATCAGCCTTATATCTTCAAAGGGGATTATTCAAAATTGTGTTATAGAGGTTGATCATGTAGTGCACGCACGAAAAGAATGAAATTACTGTTTACAGGATCATGATAGCTTTTCTCGACCGATCTTGGCGAGAAAAGGTCCTGTCCGTTCATAAAATTAACAGGAAAAGTTATAAGATCAAAAATTCGATCTTTAATTGACCACCAACGATTATCACGGAAAGGGAGGTAATCCTTACTTGAGTCTGAAGGAACCCTAGAAAGACTCAGTGCTCGAGTACCTTGCCACTGATGTGTTTGTACTCACGATGCTTGGTAACAGCTGCACCCCTCACTGCCGGTTCAGTATCTTCGTGTGAAGATATTTGTAGTTTCATTTATAATGTAGGAATACTGTGTTGGCTAATCTCACTGAGAACCATTGCACAATCGACCTGGCCTAAATTTAGTTTTGAAATTGAAAATTTCACATGTTTTTAATGTTCTACGTCGATTATAGTAAGATAAAATATGCATGGAATCACTAAATGACGGGCGAAACAAACGCGCCACCGAGCTAATTCAGGGATCTGTAAATGTACCGCTGTACCTGCAGTACATATCATTTGATGCTAACCTTACAGTATCTATTGGGAACTTTAAATCTATCATTTTGATAGAAGTTGGGGGATGCTGTTCTTGTGTGGATTCCTATCGCTATATTTAATAATGATACTAAATTATTTATTTGATCTGCAAAATATTGTTCCACGAGATGACAAATCTCGTTTTGTCACTCTTATTTTGAGAGATGAGAAGGGGAGGAGAGGGCGATTTACAGAAAAAAATCTAAAGAGTAATCCCTTAACCTTACTTGAGCTGGCTGAGTATTGTTTACACTAAGAGCTCTATGAACGTGACCTTGGCGTAGATTTGGGTTATGTTTTGTCTCTTCTTTTCTTAATCTGCCAAAAGTAGCCATTTTCAGTTTTTGTCGCTCTAATTTTCAATCCATATAGGATATGTTTGTTAGCATTTTCATTCGTCGGTGTCTGAGATTGTGTTGGTGACAGTTATGGAATGTCATACTGAGTTCCGACGACGACAGCTGATCAGCTCTGTCTGGCGAGGTAGTCTCACCAAAGTCAATTTCACTGATCAGCTAAGCTTGGTTCTTCTATAGGACCATCGGTGTGCACGTTTCCCTTTCATTTTCGCCGCTTTTTCATGAAACACCAAAGAAAATTCCATTTTGGATAAGCCCGTATGTGTTGAAACTTAAAATTTCGTTTGTAAAAGCATCGGTGTCAACGGAAAGTATGTTAACATGCTTTTGGTTTTCGTTTTTGATGAATGAATTCTTAATATAATCAACTAAGAAACTGATTTTATCGTTTCACTTTTTTTCTCCTCCCAAATTAAGTTTCTTTTTTGTTTGTGTCTCGCTCTGTTCGTTCTTATTCCCCTATCCCAATTTGCTTGCCTCTCTTCTTTAACCTATCCTAGTGTTTCCTGTTGTGTAGACAGTTTCAGAATAGATTTTTCTCATTGTATGGTTTGATCAAGCTAATTTTCCATCGTTTTGAGATGGGTTGTGAAGACTGTTGGGTGGGGAGTTTGGAATGTGAAAATGACGAGTGTTGAAATCGTGGATTTCGAAAATTGACGATCACGCATTTTTCATCCAATCCTTCGGCTTCATCATGTCGAAAAGGTCAAAGAAGTGACAGCTCTGTTTTGTTTATCAGTACAAAATTATTGTAAGACTTTTGAGAGATACCTTCCATTATTTCGTATCATGCAACAACGCAACTAGTATTTGTTATAAAATTACATTTCTGCGTGAATGTTATCGCTGCTCGATAATCTTGGTGGTTTTCCAATGGCACCAAGCTGTTCTGTGTCACCAAAAGGTAACAGGATATATCCTAAAATAATTAGAAGTCTCCGGAAAGAGGCTTTTGACTAAAAAGTCGATAATCCTTGATATAAATGTCTATACTTGGTTCTTTGAACAATGTAAACAAATATAAGATAATTTTTGCCCTAAATTTCAACACGTAAGTACAATTAGGTTGAATTGTTGGTTTTCATAATAAGCAAACACATCACGAAATTGTCCCTATCTTTTTGGAATAGAGCTAACAATGTTATAAGTGGTCACTGTTTTATTGCTTAAATTAAATATTGCCCCCATAACTAATCCAGCCGCATGACAGTTCAACACTGGTGTCACGCAAAGTAATGAAGGATAGGGGAAAAGGAAAGCCTGGGGGAGAGAAGAAGTCCAGAGGACACCTCTTATTCCATTCTTTCTAATACCAGAAGAAACTTGAAATTTGTATTTTTGAAACAACACGCAAGTTGAAGCGTGGGTTTCCATATCCCAGCGAACGCATCACGAAATATTTTCTATCTTTTTGGGATGCCACACAATGAAATGAAACTACGAAACACCTTTATTAAGCTTAGAAATGATATGTTTTAAACGTCAGTGTTTTATTTTCAATGACGTCTGATTCCGTTAAACTCAGTCTTACTCCATCGCTAACCACACTTAGGTGTCACACAAAGTTAGGAATGAAAGAGGATGGGAGGAACAGGGAAGGAAGACCTGGAGAGAGAGATGCGGTTTAGATGATACTTTCTTATTCCACTCCTTCTTGTAGAAGTTCAAATTTCCATTTCCATGAAATGACTTAAAATGAAAGACTCTGACTTCAAAATTGTGCTTAGTTTAGCGCAATGAGTGAGGGGAATTCTTTTAGTCATTCTTAGAGTAGAGGGTTGCCGCCAGCATGCAGTTTGTGCTACCGTGACTTATGCATTGAAACTGACAAAGTTTCTAAGATCGATTTTTACTTCGTGTTAGGTAACAGAGAGAAGACCGCTCACCGGCTTAGGAGACAGATTATAAAGGGAGGCCGGTGTCCATTATGGACCACCATCAGGAACTGTTCTACCCTTGAGCAATGTAATTGGGATGTGGACTGTTCTGGTGCTCAGAGGTGCTGTAAGAGCACCTGTGAAACACGTTCGTGCCACGAGCCTATACTTCCAATCAGACCCAATGAAGGTAACTGAGTTTTCACTTTCAAATGGCAAGGAACGTTTCCCACTCCTGCGTTATGTTTTGTTCTTGGTCTTATAAAGATTATTATTACGAATATGGAAAGGAGTCACTTCTAGTAGGAAAGGGTTAGAACCATAGACTATAGACCCTCTTAGGACAACCTTGGAGTGTTTGATAAGTTGGTTTTGTGACAATGTTTAAGTTTTAAATTGATGTAATCTTTTACTTGTTTTATTTGTTTGTTTTACCCGTTTTAGATGCCTGTCCAAAAGACGAAGCAACGATGGCATCAAATAAAGAAAATTCTGACTGTAGACTGACAAGAACCAGATTCTGTTTTAAAAGGAATTGCAAAAGGTAATATTTGACCAAGGTAATTTTAGAATTTTTACGTCATTTAATACCTTTCGTCGCTTTAGCACAGTCGTTTTTAAGAGGCGGACAGTTTAGAACTCTTTTCACTTACGTTTTCTACAAATCTCTCGTCCAAACTCTAAGCTTGAAATCTGAAATGCTTCCGGTCGCCTTTCGCCTTTCTCAAAAAAACGTCCCTAATATTTTGATGAAAGATAGCTATTACTAAAACGTGACCTAGCTGTTTCAAAAATATTTGCCTCACTGGAAACGCATAGGATGTTTTTACGGAATCTTAATTCATTTCAGGGAGACATTGCACCATAAAATGAATACTTGTCTGAATGATTAGCAAATGATAGGATACGTCGCATACTTAGCCGCTCCAATGTCCCGCTAATTTTGACCAATTCCGAGAATTTGCTCAATGCCGTTCATGTCATTTCACTCAAAGTAATTCCAAATTTCCATAATTCGAGAATCGTGCTTATCTCGAGTGGTTTATCCCCTTAATTTTTACTTCTCCTTAATTGTACCTTTTTAAGGAATGTCAACATGCGAAAACTTAGCTATGTGCTTTACTTAAGGACCCTCTACTCTCGGCATGTACACTTGTATGCATGTCGAAAGCAAGCGGGAGCTGCAGTATTATAAAGGCCAACTCACCACTGCATTCTTTCGCGACTTTTCAAGCCGATACAATGGGTAAATGCCTGTAGTCTTCAAGAAAAGTAATGCCCATAAGACAATCGAAGTATTACAATGATTCTTTTTTTTTTTTTATAGATGCTGTTTTCACCATAGCACGTGCAACCCTCACCGCGAGCTTCTTATGTCTAGAGAAGCGTGTCAAAAGGGTAAATTCTGTTAGTTGGTTATTTTAAAGCAAAGCAGCAAATGCTTTTCGTTGTGGGGAATTTTATCCAGAGGCCTCTAAGGTGACACAACAGCAGAAAATTTCCCTTTTTTTTCCCATGCAGCGCAGGGGCAAGTGTTTTTTTCAGGGCAAATTCTACTTTTGCAAAACAGACAAGCCAGCTCGTGAAGCTGGATACCACTCAAAGTAGACAACAAAGTAAAAAGCGCGGTTCCTTAGCCAGTATCGTTTCTTCAGGAAAGGAAAAGGCTTACAAGTTTGCTTTGTTAAACTTACTCGAGCAAGTGCCCTCAAATTAAATCATTGTTTTGATCTGAAATCAAAATCTATCAGCTTGGAATATTTCAATAATAATTTTAAAAGTCCTTTCATAATCAACGTGCCAGTTTTTCAGTCTCTCAGAGGATGATACTTTTTCTATTGCACAGTTCTTTGTTCTCGGAGGAAATGTGAATACCCTGGGGAAGTTTGCAGGTTGGATAGATACGATTCTCCCAGGTGTTCCTGTCAGTCTAAATGTCCAACACCTCGCCCGGAAGAGTCAGTGTGTGGAACGGATGGCATACCATACAAGAGTTATTGTGAACTAAATAGAACAGCTTGTATTCTGGGGGCAAAGGATATCACCATCTATCACTATGGAAGCTGTAAGCCAAGTAGGTAACTCGTGAATTCATTAGACAAAGCAATAGCTGACTGAAGACAAGTGATCATTCTTAAGTACTTTTAAGCAATACAATTTAAGAGGAATTCAAAGAAATTATGCAAACTTATAAACAAACAATAGAAAAAAATGAATCAGGCAAGTGGTCTTTGGGAGAATTCTGGAAGGCATTGCAAAAATAAGATTCAAAATTATGTCTACAGTTATTTAAGATTAGATCCTTTGTGTGATCAGATGGGGTGAGGCTGAAAGTCAGCGCAGCGCATAAAAGCAGGCAAGTACTTCCCGCTTATGAAAAAGGAGAACTGAGATGCCGCTTCGATGGAGAACCTTTAAGCATCACGTGGAAAAAGGTTGGGCTTCGAGGACTGCCAAACCGAATGATACCAGAAATGGACAAGTTGAATATCCAGGATGTAGACATGCGCGATGGTGGGATGTATAAATGCCAGGCATATGACGGATTTCTGACAGTGGAAGCCGAAATATCTGTCATTGTCAACGGTAAGAGCTCACTCGAAAAAATATGCAGAAACCTTATTTTCAGCGTGCCGAAGCGTTAACTAGTTGGTTATCATTTAATGAGAAAAAATGCACAAAATGTTTCAGTCAATAAACATGTCACTTTGTCTTACTTTCTTGCAAACCTATGACGTTTACAAATGGCGGGTTTTAATTTGTTTTCCCTCACTATCGAAAAAGTGCTATCGCTCGATTGATTGTCAACAATGCTTCAAAGGAAATAAAGGGCTCAACTAAATCCTAGAATCGCCTTGTTTTTTTTCTCCTCTAAGCGTAGGAAGAACAAACCAAAAACAAACGCTGCTTTCGGATCATCGTTTTATTGATAACTATAATCATATGGTCGCGTCACTTGTGTTGAAATTAGTTCTGTAATTTTTTTTATCTTCATCGAAGAAGTTCAGATTAGCAGCTCAGTCAGCGTTTGTTTTATACGTAGGTAAGCCTTGTTCCAATTCTGTGATACGACTATTTGAAACTGCAAAGTACCAAGTTTCCGACCAGTTTTATCTTTTTTCAGGGCCAACTCCTGCTAGCAACAGAAGCAGCATGTCTCGTGCTGATTGTTTACAACCCCGGAGCAACGGATACTGCAAGAGGCACGGTGTTCGGTGGTACTTTGATGGTAAAGATGGTGTCTGCAGGTCATTTGCTTACGGTGGATGTGGTGGGAACACAAATAATTTCGAGACCCAGGAAGCCTGTAATTCAGCGTGCAGTCATGCGGGTAATTTCTAGACAAAAGAAATATTTTGAACCAGAAATCGTTAGAGTTACTGAGCGCTATTTTGGAATAGTTCCATGACAATAGAAAATGTAGGCTACAATTATCTTGTACTTTAGAAATCCTGGATACCACGCGTCACCGATGTGTCGAAAAATAGCGCTATGTTAGGCCAAATATGACTCTCCCCGAGGAAGTTTTCTCAATACCTAACACTCGATATCTAAAACAGAAAACCAACGAAACGAAACATTCTAGATTTTTTTCGCCTTTCATTAATCATCATCGAAATTGATTGAATTCCTCAATCACAGCTCAGTGACGCGAGCTTTCAATTCCTCTGAATATTTCACGCGTCCCGTGATACGATAGGTCCACTGCATGATGAACGAAAGCTCAATACTCATTTTTAACGATGTATTGTCGGTTTTCATCAGCTTAAACTTTAAATAAATTTTGTTTTAATAATAGCTTTTTAATGCTGAGCTTGCATTATAAAATCATCTTTCATTGTACTTTGTATCTTTTATTTATTTTTTTTAGCTGGTGATATCTGCAGTTTACCAAAGGTCGAGGGCCTTTGTAAAGGTTTCATACCACAATGGTTTTACAATTCGGATAGAGAGCGTTGTGAGCAGTTTGTGTATGGAGGATGTGGGGGCAATGCAAACAAATTTAACACCAAAGCGGCATGTCTAATGCGTTGTGCAGGTAATTGAAACAAACAAACAAAAAGACAAACAATCAGGCTAAGGGAAAAAACACTCGCTACAGCACTTAGTGAAAATAGATCCAGCTTCCATTAAGGGCCAATGACCCTTTGGAAGCAAGGAAATAGGAGCAAGACAATGTCACTTATTCGAAGATTTAGCATCATGATAAATATATATCTAATGTAAAAACTATAATTCCTCTTACTATTGCTTACTTTTAGCGAATCCCTCGGCGAACACCCCATGTCTGCGACGTCAGTTTGAAGCCAGACGAAATAAGCGTCTTGGAGTATTTGTGCCGAGATGCTTGTCTGACGGAAGATATGCTGGCGTGCAGTGTCACGGATCGATTTGCTTTTGTATGGATGAAGAAGGGGACGAAGTTTCTGGTACCAGAGTTAGCCGCCATCTTCCGCTTAACTGCACGGGAACAAATCAACTTCCGCCCGGTAACTTCAGGGTTATTTTCTCTTCGATGCCATTGCTTGCTAGCGTGAGATTTACAATACACAAGTAACGAGAAAAATCGAAGTAACTGACACTGTACTGTGTGCAAGTTCTCATAAGTAGGGTGAAATCAATTATACGAGTGCGAGTGTCTGGATGCGCATTTTTTAAATTTCATGATGCGTTCATTTTTCGCCTTTCACAGTTGGTGATTCGACTCCATGTCAGAAGGCCCAACGAAAGAACAGCGTTGTACCATTTGGTTCTTATCTGGTTCGCTGTAAGCAAGAAGGAAGCTATGAAGAGGTGCAGTGTAATGGATCCTCTGGATTCTGCTGGTGTGTGCAGAAAAATGGTACCGAGCTTTCTGGGACCAAAACTAGAGGACCTCTCCTGTGTCCTACTTTAGGTCAGTGTATGAATTTATCTGTATTCGACGGAGATAGAGAGGTATTTTAAATTCTATGATGCAGTCGAAAATATGACCGCAATTGTAAGTTTTCAAACCTTTGCATCTTGCAATGTGGGTGGTTTAACAGACTCTAACCCGGTACCTTTTGAAATGTTTGAAATTTTTGGAGTTTGCGCGGCCTTCAGTGCTTTCTACTTTTCATGTTCATGTTTACAGATATCCGTTTGACACACTGTCAAAAAAAGTTCCTCGACAATTCCAGAAGTCTGCAACCAAATGTGGAAATACCAAGATGTCGGCCTGATGGAAAATTTCAGGAAGTTCAATGTCGAGGAGAGATGTGCTACTGCGTCGACGCAGATAGTGGGAGAGAAGTGAGGGATACAGAAATAAATACGTTAGTTGGGGAACCAAGATGTGGCGATGCTGGTAAAACAATGTATAATTTTTCACATTTCAATTCAAAGATTGGAAGCGAACGATTGTGAAATTACATCGTCTGCTAATCAGAGAAGATAGTGCTTCACAGTGTAAATCTCAGTGTGTACAAAAACAATTACGACGCGCATTTATTGAGCATCCGTTCCTTCTCTAAAGGTCGAGGTCTAACCCTTTGTCAACGAATGCATCGAGAGGTTTTACGCTCTCTTACCAAGAACACTCGAGTTCCACAGTGCAAGTTTGACGGAAGCTTTGAGGAGATTCAATGTCATGGGCTCAGCGATGAGTGCTGGTGCGTGGATCACCTTGGCATCGAGATTACAGGAACAAGACGCATGGGGCCTTTGCAATGCGCAGGCGTAGGTTTGTGTAAAAGTTTGCTATTTGAATGCTAAGACCTTTCGTATTTATTGCTGACCACAAGCTAAATTTTTTTCTTAATTTAAAGCAGAAGATCATGATTATTTAAGGTTGTTGGTGGGCTGATAAACCTATCTGTGCTGAAGGTAATCCTGGTATTTTGCTCAAGTTTGAAATTTGAAATCGAAACATTCCTTCCTACTTAGAATTCTTTGTAACTGACCGAATTCCCAACGGACTACAATAGAAATTAGTAATCAAGCATATTTTAGAGGGAGAACTTGTCCCTTGTGCAATTAGCAGTGGTCTTAAATCTTCGATTTTAGGTGATAGTTGTTACGAAACCTATTTTCCAATACATGGGAACTGAGTGCACTTTATTAAATTAAACTAGCCGGGTTGCTGTCTCCGACGGTCAGCGTCGACATTTACGTGGGATGTTAAATTGCTTTCTCGCAATCTTTCTATAGGGAAGCCTTTGACACCTTGTCAAATAGAATACCAGAAGTACTTACGGCGTTCATGGCAGTCCTTTAATCGATATGCCCCGCGGTGTAGCCCTGATGGGGCTTATGAAAAAGTCCAGTGCTCAGGAGGAGTATGTTACTGTGTCACTCCACAAGGGAAAGAGATTCCTGGAACAAAAACTGTCAATTTGGCCAGACAACCAAACTGCACTCACACAGGTAATCCACGAATATGACAAGTGAACTGTGCTGCACCTTGGCCCGATCGCAATTAATAAGAATAGACGTTTCAGCTCATGTCCTTAATTCTCTCTCAGTGACTGAAATTAAGTCAGCACATTGATGCTGTTATCCGCATTTAATCCATGCAATAGCTCAGATCTACACTTCATTTTTAAAACCTCTGTGGCTTCTGACTTAATATATACTTTTTTTTCTCTTTTTATGACGGTTTCCAGATGCTAATATTACACCATGCGAGAGGAAACGTCGAGATTCTATCCATTATTCCAAGAAGTTTGTTCCTTTCTGTAAACCCGACGGGAGTTGGTCTGAGATTCAGTGCGAACTGTCTTCGGGGAGCTGCTGGTGCGTGGACAGTGAAGGGCATGAGATAATTGGCTCAAGAAGCACCAGCCTGAAAAGTTGTCCCAATTTTGGTTAGTATTGAATACAGTTACGGTATCCTCCGGTGTCTTATTCTTTCCGTCGTACAATTCCTTTTTCAAACCAAATTTAACTGTGTTGTGTGAGAGGTTTTTAGACACACAGTCTTTCGACTCTGTTCTTATTAAATATTTTGTCTTCTTAGTCCAAACGCCTGCTTGAATGTGTATAACCCCTTAGGGTTTCAGAACTGCATGGCTACTATCACCGACGTATGTATGAGAAGGCTTCGTCAAAGGCTTTTCAAACATCTCCGTATTTTTTATTGACTTTCTCCTACCGGTTCTTTTATTTGTCTTTTGAGCTTTATCTGCGCGTTCATACCTCCTAGATAAACTCAGCCCTTGTAGAAAGAGATTAGTTTACTGGTTAAAGAATCCGCATCCAGATGAACATCTCCCTTGGTGTCGTGCAGACGGTTCATTTAATCATATGCAGTGCTATGGCTCTCATTGTTATTGTGTTAATGAGAAAGGAAATGAAATTCCTGGAACCAAGATCAGCGTGTCAGCGGGAAGACCTGTGTGCACCTTTTCTGGTAAGTGGCATAAATAGCTATCGGCAGATTGGCATCCCTTAATGTATATCTCCGAACGTCTTGGCACATCTAAAATAAAAAATTTTTTTCTTTTTAAGGGGGTCGCGTGACTTCTTGCCAACGTAAGTATCGCGAGGCTCTTTTGCAATCCTTCCGACCTACCTTGGTCCCACGATGCAAACTTGATGGACGGTACGAAGAAGTTCAATGTCAAGGCTCTACCAAAGAATGCTGGTGTGTTAACCACGATGGGAATGAACGTCCTGGGACTAGGACAACGAAGCCTTTGAAATGCCCCATAATAGGTAGTTGTTGTAGTACTTTCTTCGTAGCAACATAATAGTTCCCACATGCAAGGACAGTAACCGAGATTGACATTTATCAAATGGAAGTTAACAAAAAAATTTAGGAAGATATTTGTCTTAGAAGATGGAAATGTCGATTTAGATTGCATTTTTTTTCCCCAAAAGAATCTCGAAAGCTAAGACACCTGTTTTCCATTTTCCTTTTACCTAAATATTTTAACCCAAACTGTGGACATAAAAATATAAAAATGAGTGACAATCACACATACGATGACTGTTACCCCTGTAAGGCAAGAGAAATTTTGATAATTGCTGTTACTTTTTGCCAACAGGAGCTCAATTATCTAAGTGCCAACGGCGATACAGAGAGTATGCTAAGAATCCAATTCCTGGTCAATTGATCCCTAGATGTAGAAACGATGGATCTTTCGAATCCGTGCAGTGTCGAAATCTTGACTGCTATTGCGTCGATGAAAATGGAGACCCGATTGCGGGAACTTCTTTACCTGCTAGGCTTGGAAAGCCCAAATGTCGCCTTCCAGGTTTGTCCCAAGCTGTTTCTGTTCGTTAAGTTTGAATTTCAATTAAGTTACCATTTATGGAATATTTGCTGATTACAATGAAAAACATGGTTGAGTAGTGACTTTGTAATTTCGTTTCTTTTGGAAAGGTGAAGATCCTCTTTCGTCCTGTCAAAAACAACATAAGGCTGCTCTTAGATTCCCAGCAACACCCTCCCGCTTCATTCCTGCCTGCAAACGCGATGGCAGGTTTGAAGAGATTCAGTGTCTTCGAGCCACAGGTGAATGTTGGTGTGTGGACGCTTCTGGAAAGGAGATGAAAGGAACAAGGACCACTGGCTACATAATTTGTCCATCGTCAGGTTTGAATTTTGTTTGGATATCTAAATACATAATCAGTCCCTTGCTTTAAAGTCTTGGGGACCTTGTTACAAGTACTTCGAAAGCTGATAACGAGTAGAGTAAAGTAGAGTAGTTTTAATCACCTTTCCTCCTTGGAGGGTATTCTGAGTCCATTTACAACACTTTTCAGTGGGCTTTGGCCAGACCGCATCAAGCAGTTTACAATTTTTTGAAGGAGTGATTATAACAATGAGTCTGTTGCATTTTGTAGCTGCTTCTCTTACATCATGTCAAATGGAATATCAGGAGAGACTCAGAAGTTGGCTTTTACCAGGTCCCTATATTCCTCAGTGCTCGCATCAAGGACAATATGAGCCCATGCAGTGTTATGAATCGTATTGCTTCTGTGTCAATGAACATGGAGTGGAATTGGTAGGAAGCCGAGTGGATAAAACAGAAGGAAAACCAAATTGCAATGATGGAGGTAACTACTTGACGAAGTTTTGCCAACGGTATTCAACTAATTTACTAAAAATCTCCAAAAAGCAAGAAGACTTCAAAAATGGAAAAGAAAATTAGAAACTTGGAAAGTTACGAAGCGAGGTTCACCACAGTAGTAGGGTCTTTATTTTAAACTTCAATTTATAAATCAATCTTGCTGCAAAAATCTACATCAGTTAACTAAAATAATGGTTTATGGTTACTTAGATAGTTAATTCGTTCTTCAAATTTCAGTTTCTACGTTGACGGTGTGTCAGAAACAGTTACAAGACTATTTACGGAATCCTATGCCTGACGGTTTCGAACCGCACTGTAGTAAGACTGGCGCCTTCCAAGAAATTCAGTGCCATGGTCCGTTTTGTTTTTGCGTCAAGCGAGATGGGATCGAAGTACCAGGGACGAGACAAATTCTGGTGATGGGTAAGCCAGTCTGCTCAAAGCAAGGTAATATCCTAAAAAAGGTATTTTAAGTTTTTGATTTCATTATTTTCTCTATGCCGATTCTTTGACCGTTATATCATAGTTATATATGCGATTTTTTTTGTCCAATGTTAGGTTTCTCATTGACAAGGTGTCAAAAGCAGCTGCAGGAAGCAATAAACCATTCGCAAGATCCTGACAAATTTTTGCCTCGATGTAAATACGACGGTAGTTACGAAGAGATACAATGCCACAAGGCAACTGAGAAATGTTGGTGCGTAGACCGAGACGGAAACACACTTCCCTCTACAGCTACAAATAAAAACGTCACGTGCCCATCTACAACTGGTGAGAGCAGAGATTTATTTCCGATGCGGTATATTCTTCTTTAGTGATGCAAATGTAGCTGATGTTCTAACTGTATTGGATACATGTAACAGTTTGCGCTTTTCATATGTTTTTTTTTAATTATATTTTTTCGAAGACACTAAATCATCCTGCTGGAGTCGCTATCAACAAAACGTCAGAAGCAGTCCGGCTGGTTCTCATATTCCATGGTGTAGAGCTGATGGAAGTTTCATCCCTTTCCAAGTCCAGGCGTCTCAGTTTTTTTGTGTAAATAGAAGAGGAGAGGAACTTCCCGGCATGAGTGTTGACATTAGCCTAGGAAAACCAGATTGCCGAGCTGCAAGTGAGTGTTTTTAAGAATTACGATGAAACGAAAAGAAGAAAATGAAGCAAAATTGCATACTGCTAATTCGTCGTAAGCGTCTAGTGGTTAGAGTTCTCTGTGGCTCAGTGGTAAAGCATCGGAGCGTGGAAGGCGAACTTCCGTAGTTGTATTCAGCTTAAATATTCAGATTTATTCCTTGTCTCAAGTTGGGGACAAACAAATGAAATCGAGTTTTAGCGATTCATTTTGTAAGTTCATCGTGGTCCGATGCTAACCCTTCCGCTTCTAAGAAAAAAGTATGCCACATTATCCTCAACAAGTTATATTCTATAAGATAGCAGGGCGAGCCACCAGTGTAATGGCAAACGTTTATTTAAAATTGGTTTAACTTGCAGCAACCCACGGATTCATAGCAACACCGTGCCAACGTGAACGCGCTCGTCGCACCCATCTTTCTTCATACGTTCCCCGTTGCCGGGTTGATGGCACCTATGATGAAGTACAATGTGATGTAAAGGATGGTCAGTGTTGGTGCGTGGATCGAGATGGTAGGGAAATAAACGCTACCAGAGGTGAAGGTGTTATTCGTTGTCCAACTAAAGGTGAGGTCGATCGTTCACTCAGTCAGTCAGGCAATTAGTTGATCTTTCACTCAGTATGTCAGGCAATCAGTCGATCGATCGATCCATCGATCTGTTACTTAGTCGGTAAGGCAATCAGTCGATCATTCACTCGGTCAGTCAGCCAATCAGTTGATATGTCAATTGTTAGATCGTTCAGCTAATAGTTAGATCGTTCAGACAATTTACTTCTTCTCTTTTTACGCTACTTTAGACCACCAGCAGGTTTTTCCACTAACGAGCAAATTTTCATTTTACGTGCCTCTTGTCAGACGGTGTCTTTAGAATAAAATTGGAATTATAATTAACATACTGCTATTTATAGAAAGTCTCACACTTTGCCAAAAGCGTCAAAAGGAAGCCATCAAACGATCCTCAAATGGACCCAACATTTGGAACTTCGTGCCGAGATGCCGTCAAGATGGTGGCTTCCACGAAGTCCAGTGTCATGTGGGGACAGGCCAGTGCTGGTGTGTGGACAAAAATGGAAATGAACGTTTTGGGACAGTGGCGGGGGGATTGCCTAATTGTTCAGGTATGCAAGAAACCGAAAAAGGAAAAAAGATGACTCGTCGATGCCACTATCTGGAAACTTAAAACGATGGTCATCAATAATTTGAGAATATTGGGAATGAAGCAGTTAAGCTCTGATCAGAACTTTTGTTGATTTTTAGCTCAATGAGAATCGAATTTTGTTCTGTTCATTAAATATATATATATATACCTTCATTGAATATTTTTTTCATTAATACCACTCATCTCAAATAAACAGATTTATTGATTTAAGGGAAAATTAGACGGTAAATTGGTCCCTATCTTAACACACTGATGAAAAGCTAGGAGTCTTAATTTGTTAACTAGGAAACTTCACTACTTGTCAGCGTCAAAGAGCACGAGCACTTGGTCTGGCGGGGAATCCACTCCCTGGTGCGTACGTTCCGCACTGTAAACCCGACGGCAGTTACAATGACGTACAGTGTCATGCTTACATTGGTCTTTGCTGGTGTGTTGACGAGAAAGGGGATGAAATACTGGGAACTAAGAAGTGGGGGCGTCTTAGTTGCGTTAGATCCTCATCAGGTGAATATTCCATTAAAACATTCTATAGGTTAATTATTACCGATGTAATAATTCTCCCCAAATATGAAAGGACGACAAACATCATAGATACAAATTTTCTTCTAACCTCGCCGAGAGATTCCTGATAGTAGTTTAACCTTTCGACAAGGTACGTAAATGTGAGGAAGTTTTATGTGTTATGAAAAGCTTGTATGGCAAATAGAGGAAGAACTTCTTCACTTAAATGGCTTATCTTCTCACCTTTCAGACAACTCAAATCCAATCGATCTTGGCATCTTGATTGACTCTTCGGACTCAGTAGCAAAGAAATATTGGCCAAAGATGTTAGAGTTTGTGTCTACGATCGTGGATTCCTTCGACATTTCTGCCGGAGGAACACATGTTGGACTAATTGTATTCAGTCGCGATGCGGAAATACCTCTGTATTTTAATACTCTACAAGGAAATAACCTAACTGCCGATAACGTGAAGAAATTTGTTAGTAATCTTAAGTATATGGAGGGTTGGAGTCGTTTCGATCTGGCTATGTCAGTTGCTGAAGACGAGTTATTCAGCGGGGCGTCCGGAATGAGAAACGGAATACCTAAGGTGAGCATGAGCATTTATTTTAGTGCGAGTGCACAGTGTTCAAAGTTCTTGGACTGTCACACGCCTTTCTCTATTAGTGATACCAATTCAGCATCAGACGTAACGATCCTAATCAGGATTGTCACTCAGCGTAAGGAGCAAAGTGGTCTTGTTCATTTGGCCTCCTTTTTCCTTACTTTTTTTAGGTGTGATCATTATATTTTGAGTCACATATGTTTGTTTTCGATCAATAGATCTTACTTGTCTTAACAAGTAGTACACAGGAAAGAAATCAAGGACCCACCACACCACTGCCAGCGGCATCGCAGGGTCTTATGGATAGGGACGTGTCGATATATGTGATCGGCGTTGGGGACAAAATAGAAGTCCCCGAGCTACTAGATTTGGCCTCAGATTACAGGAATGTATTTGTCACAAGTAACTTCAACACCCTTCTTTCCAGTGGTGTAGAAGTAACAGCCATAATGAGAAATGGCACCGTAGCTGTTTCAAGAAGTAAGTTCTTTAAGGATTATTTCAGAGCAAAGTTTGGAATTTCTGATGTCTGAATAACTTTTAACTTAACTTTTTACTTAACACGTGGTGCGTGTGAGGTTAAGGCTCGCGATGGTGATTTTGAATTGATAGTTTTGACAATGGTAATTGTCTCTAGAGTGCTGATATATATATATTTTTTTCACATCTCACACCCTTTTAGACAGGATTTGTAATCTGCCTTCGGAGCCTGGTCAACTTGGCTGTCTGGCATCGATAACTGCACATTACTTTGAAGCCAGCCTAGGAGAATGTCAAAAATTTATTTATAGTGGATGTGGGGGAAATGCCAACAACTTCCCAACCTACAAAAAATGCATGGATAATTGTAAAGGTAGATAAATGTCCTCTCAGGCTTCGAGTTTAAGGTTACTTCCAACGATGAAATCTGTTAAGAGACATAACGGAGAATTCTAAAACTGAAGCTTTTTATTGTTCCAATCGCTTTCGACGTATAGAGCTGAATTCTCATAATCTGAGTGTTTGTCTTGTTGGCAACACATATGAGTTTAGAAACATGTCCATTCACAACGTAAGAACACAATATTAGACGATACCATCGCCACAAAGCAACAGGTGTGGCAACACCAGCGCGTAGCATATTCCATATGGAAATGGAAATTCAATTTTTTCAAGAATAGGTAAGAAGATATGGCCAGAAAAATAAATCAATTATAAATAATATTGACGACCTCTTCTTTACTTGATATAAAGCGTTAAAATAAATCTTTTCAATTCAGATGTCCTTCCTTCCTGTCTTGCCGAGCAGAGACGTGTCCTTGGTTTGCAAGTGGGTCATTTCGTTCCCAAATGCAAACTAAATGGTAGATATGAAAGCATGCAGTGTTACCGAAAAACAGGCTTTTGTTGGTGTGTTGACGAGTACGGTAAAGAGTTGCATGGAACCAGGGTCAAAGGAACCCCTATTTGCAGCATGGCCGATGGTAAGCTGAGTACGGGTGGTGATATAAAGCATGCCCTACATTAGGTCCGCTGTCTTATGTTATCGCTCTCAACACCTCCATACAGATAAGCACTGAAAAGACTGAAAATTTGCACCTGTACGACAGATATGGGTTTCAGAGTTCTCAAGTATTTCCTCAACCGAGCGTTCTTTTATTGAACACTTAGAGTCTAAATTAAGTTTGGAAACCCGACGTCACGTGTTTAATGCAGTATCGATTTGGGCCCTGGTCGGGGTTCATTAGTTGAAAGACAGTCCTACAGTATTTTCAATACTTTTTGTATTAACATCAATTCATGCCATTTCCCTTCATCAAGCGTCCAGAAAATTAACTCCTTGTCTTGAAGAAAGAAGAAAAGCCTTGGGTTTTAGCGGCGTTCCATCTATCGGAAAATTTGTCCCAGAATGTAACCCGGATGGAGAATATGCAGAAGTACAATGCTTTGGAAACACCAAGTTCTGTTGGTGCTCAGATAAAAGAGGATACGAGATTCATGGTACACATCGCTGGGGTACTCCGAAATGCCCATCCAGAGGTGAGTGGAAAAGTGATGGGCGGTTTTTATCTCACATCTGTTTGGATAGTCAGTAAATGCCGTGTGCGCTTTTTTCCAGTTCATCGGGGAATATGTCCATTCGTATCAGACCCGAAGAAGTGTCCAGCGGAAATGAGTGAACAGACATGTTCACAAGACAGTGATTGCTCCGAATCTTCTAAATGCTGTTACTGTGGTTGTGTACGGCGTTGTACTCCTATTTTATCAGATGAACCAGGTGACTAAATGACTTTTAAAATCACCATTTGATTTCTTTCTAGTGCTTAATTTATAGGTCACGCTAGTAAACGGTTAGAAAGATTTTTCGTTGTCATATTGAACCCTTTTGTTCCTTCCTTACGGCTGTTTTCATGTGGTATTCTGAATCATGTAATTCTAATGCATTATCGATCTTGTTTACTCACCGGTAGAAGTATCAGATTGTGCCCTTGAAAATGAGAAGTCGCTTTCAGCGGCATGCTCACACGTCCAAGTTAGTGGCCGTTTCCATCCAAAATGCAAGGTTGATGGTAGTTACGAGGGTTCTCAGTGTCTTGAGTCTAGTGGTGTCTGCTGGTGTGTTGATAGAGATGGAAATGAAATCCCGGGAACTAGACAAACTGGAAAACCCAACTGCACCATGCCAGGTACTGTGACAAAACTAAAATAATTGCTACAATTTACCAAATTATGCAACAGGAAGGGCCCTTTTTGCAAGAGTTACTGTTATTTTCAATTATTTCCTTTTTGAAGTTTCTTTGACACCGTGTCAGAAGGAAAACAAGAGGGCTGTAACTATGCGCAGTAGAACAGTGGTCGGATTGATTGTGCCAAGATGTCTATCAGATGGTTTGTTTGACCCGGTACAGTGTAACAATAACACTGGATTCTGCTGGTGTGTTGACAAGCACGGAAGTGAACTAGTTGGGACTCGGCAGTGGGGAAGACCAAACTGTACTGATATAGGTATGTCGATTGACAACTTACTACCATGGATTAAATATGTGACGTGTCGTAGTGGGGGGAGGGGGCTGCATGCATTTTTACCTCTTTGAACCGCTTTTTTGTGTCCTATAGACCGTGGAGGGACTTGTTTCTCGATACTTTTGCACTACAGTATTCCAAAAGATGTTGCTTTGCACCTGAAATTACACGGGGAGTATATCATCTGGGCCATAGAAATGGATCTTTTTTCGAAAAGGTGCCAGCCTCAGCCAGCAGACACGATTAGCATCCCATCATTATCAACTTCATCGTCATCATTGTCATCATCATTATTATCTTTATCATTGCAATTGTCATCATGGTCATATTATTTTCATCTTTATTATTATCACTATTATTGTTATTATATGATATAATCTCCTAACCGATTTTCATTTATATCTGTTCCCTAACAGATAAGAGAGTTACTGTTTGTACCTCCCGCCGGGAAGAATGTCTTGACAACGCCCCACGCGGACATTTTGTTCCCCGCTGTAAGGCTGATGGCTCTTTTGACGATGTGCAGTGTCTTCAAGCAACAGGGGAATGCTGGTGTGTTGACACAAACGGGCAAGAAATACCGGGGACCCGATCTATTGGGAAGCTGGACTGCTCTGTAATTGGTAAGCAGAGGCTGGATTGGTGAGATATAGAAGGAAATTTGAAGGTTCTAGGTTTACCAGGTCTAATTTTGTTATTAATCAAGGTTGAGCAGGTGATGCATAAGAAACTAGTAGAGTGCTTAGCTCGCAGATGCTTCCTGTAACTTAACCAAGTAGCGAACTATCTTCAGCTTCTACATATCTCAGTTACCCAATTTTTTTTACCCGTGTTTGGCGCAAATGATCTCAAGAATTTTCATTGACGTGGCGATTTGCAAAATCAAATGGACTATGAGAACCTATTAGCACGCTTATTTTGATCGCTCTCGAAAAATTTTGCTTCTTTTCGCGCCAGTCGTGAAAACACAATAATACTTGTTGAAGAAGATTGCTCGTTTTAGACACCAAAACCAAGAGAACTACTATTTGAGGGGTTGGTTAATCCGATTGCAAAAGTGTAACGGCATGATCTTATTTTACCAAAGCCTGGCTGAGTCCGTGTCAAATCCAGCGTCGTCAAGCTCTGGGTCTTAAAAGCGTACCAACTGTGGGAGTGTATGTCCCTGAATGCAAGGCCGATGGAGGCTTCGAGGCAGTCCAGTGTAACATGGCAGCAGGGTACTGCTGGTGCGTCGATGAGAGTGGCACTGAAGTAAAGGGGAGTAAAGTTAGAGGCAGACCCAGATGTGGTAAGGCCATTTACAATTCAAGGGGCTTAGAATCCCATGTAAACGAGAAAGCCTTTTTGTGGCTACTGCCTCCTATAGGAAGCGAAGCCAGATATGTCGCCGGAATGAGTGATTGAATTAGTGATAGTAACAACAGAATTCCGATCTTGACCCAAGAAGATGCTAAACATCTCACAATAATTTCAGGATGGCGCTTGAAAAAAGGAAAGGCTTTCCTTGCAGAAATATATTAAAGGTGTGATTGACGTGTCATGAAAACTTAAAGGAAAATATTTTCTTTGAGGAGTAGCATGTTACCGTTTGCATCAGCAAATTTAGCCAAGAAGATCCGAAGATATAATTTTTTCGTTTCTTGCCGTGACACAAAAAAGAAAAATAATAATAATTCAGAGGCAAAATTAAACGAAGCATAGTTAAATCATTATTGGAGCACAGTGGATAGACCGAAACGGAAATAGTGAAGTTCTTGAGCTAGCGCCTGTAAGTTATCATTACTATTTTTATCATTATTATCATTATTATCATTATTATTATTATTATTGTACTATTATTATTATTATTGCTATTATCAAAATACAATTGATAAAATTAATATACGAAATTTCATAAAAATTCAAAATCATGTATAATACAAAAGTATTTAGCTTGAAAATGTCCCTTAAAAAAAATTTAGATGCCCGCAGTGGCGACGCAGTCTAAGGAGTGTTCTATCTTGCTGTGAAAATGCGTTCGTCGACCTCTCACGCATGCGTGTACCGATCTTAGAAGTTCGAAAGAGATTTGTGTCCTGAGCCATGCGATAACGGTGCTATACGGCTCGGTGTCCTTCTGAGCTATCTTATCTGCAAGATGCTTCATGAAACGCTGACACTCATTTCCCATTCCGCCATTGGTTCCAAACACTAAAGGTGTGAATGAACCCATCTCTACATCTAGCACCCACTGCAGGTACTCGCGTTTCTTCTCGTCCTCTTGCTCCTTGAATACTTCAAATGTTGTCTTGTTCTGGTAACACTTAGAGGTAACATGCGTAACTCTTACATCGAAAAATGCCGTAACTCCTCTTGACCAGAAACCTCCCGCTTTGATGTCTAATCTTGCCTCAGAGCTTGTGACGGCACTTCTCAAATGCAGCCGTTCCTTGTCGAGGGGTTGAAGGCGTGGTTCAATTTCCATATTGCTGCGGACCTTATTGATGAATGCCTTTAATAAATCACGGACACCATCATGTCTCTGTGCTACAAAGCCCCCCTTTTTACATGAGGGGGCATAGCCTACAATAAATTTATCCCCACACACACATAGACATGGTAGATGGACTACTTATTGCTATAATTATTGTTAACATGATTATTTGTTACCTCTTTATTATTGTTTGAGTTACATGTGGTCACTATCTTCTTGAATCATCTTTCTCTTGGTACTCATAACAAACGTAGGGTGAGGCAGGTTTTTTGTTTCTCTCAAATGTTCTGCAACACTACTTTCTAGCATTTTAAAACATTTAGTTTTTTTTCAATGCCAGAAAAGTTGTTTTATATCATTAGCCGCATACAGTCTTACTCTGCCTATTTAAAATTTTGGACACTAGTGGTTGATTTCGCATTGTAGACCCTAGTGGTCGAGTCTGGATTTTGGTCACCAGTGGTCAATTTTGGACGCTAGTGTCGGATTTTGGATTTTGGATTTTGGACACTAGTGTCTTATTTGGATTTTGGACATTAGTGGCCGATTTTAGATTTTGGACAGTGGTGGTCGATTTTGGATTTCGGACCCTGTTGGCCGTTTGAAATTTTGGGCCCGAATGGCTGATTTTGGATTTTGGACCCTAGTGGCAGATTTTGGATTTTGGACACCAGTGTCCGATATTGGATTTTGGAAACTAGTGGCTGATTTTGAACCGTAGTGGCCGATTTTGGATTTTGAACACTAATGACTGATTTTGGATTGTGGAGATTAGTGTCTGAATATCGATTTTGGATACAGATGTCCGATTTTGGATTTTGAACCCTAATGGCGGATTTTTTATTTTGAACACTAGTGTCCCAATTTGGACTCTAGCTAATGTCTGATTTAGGGTTTTGGACCCTAATGGCCGATTTTTGGAGTTTGGATTCTTGTGGCCGACTTTGGATTTTGGACCCTAGTCGCCGAGGTTGATTTTAGACTTAAATGTCCGATTATCGATTCGTGGCCTTCGATTTTGGCAACATAGGTCACATAGTAAACATAGGTCACATACAAATGGAATTGCAATAAAATAAGGAAGATGTTTATAATTAACAGGGAAAATTTAAATAAACATAGCTTTATCATTATTAGAGCCTAGAAACAGGGAAACCGTGAGGCTTTGGAGCTGGGACCGCTAAAGTATTATTATATTACTATTGTCATCATATTGATAATTGTTAAAATCATGTCTCTCTTGTGGAACAGCGTACTCATAAATATATGAGATGCAGCAGGTTTTCTGTTCCGCATGTCACTTCATATCTTCTGCAACACTACCTTCTAGCGTCATTATACAACTTTTAGTTCTTTCCAATGCTTTAAAAATTGTGCTCTATCAGTAGCCACATGCAGTCTTGGGCTGTCTATTTTTGTTGTTGTTGTTGTTGTTGTTGGCGAATTGCCGACACACAAATTTTTTAATCGTCCTGTCTCGGTCATACAAACTTTGCGCTGCCTTTGTAGCTAAGTTAGAAAGATATCTGCTTATTCCTTGGGGGTTAAATTCAAGCTCAAGCGAAAACTCCTCCTCCCACTGCCCCCTATTTGATAGAGAAATTTCTCATCTTGAAAAGTTGGCATCTCTTTAAAAAAAGTACACTTCCTCAGCACTATAATTTTTGCCATGAGATAGACCGTCAACGCGGCGCATTTGGATGCCTTGAAATCTGCTCTCTTTTATCCTTGTTTTAATTCCTCAAGGAAAAGAAAAATTGTGCAAGAAGAGGTTCGACGAGATACTGTCATCCTTCCCTGCAACTCCTTTGGGTTTGTTTGTACCGAAATGTTTAGATGATGGTGGTTATCGAGCTATTCAGTGCCATAACTCTACCGGATACTGTTGGTGTGTGGATGACTTCGGGAACGAATTAGCTGGAACACGAGTTAGAGGACAGCAGAATTGTTCAGGTGAGTCTTGTGTTTTTTTTCAAAGTTGACATATTTTCAAAGGATCATCAATTTTTATTTTTAGTTACGTTCTTCATATTATTATGATAGCATTATCCACCACCCTATAACGATTTGTACTGAGAAAATCTGAATCATCAGTTTTGTAGGATCCTATTTCTCACAACGTTGCCTTATTCATGAAAATCGGGTCAAGGGTAACTCTGTCAGTCTGTGGGGGTGGGGGAAGGTGACTTTTACGGATTTAAACTTTAAGTTGGCTTATCTGAGGAAAATTCTAATTGCTCTGAAGGCGTTATTTGAACTCATTTTAGCTGATCCCATGTCTAGCTAACTTTTTAGTATCTTCACCGAAGTTTTCCAGAAAGTGCTTTCAACATAACTTTAATGTTGTTCGTGTATGTTCGGGGTGTGGCCATAAAACTGACACCTCCCTACATCCTCTCTAGCCTCCACAGATCAAAAATTTACCTTGTGTCAAAGCCGCTACAACCACGCCTCCGAGATAAACGAGCATGGTCGGCCCGTGCCACTCTGTAAAACTGATGGATCATTTAAAACAACCCAATGCAACTCAGTGACCGGAGAGTGTTGGTGCGTTGATGTGGAAGGAAATGAGAAGCCCGAAACCAGAAAAGTTGGGGATCCACACTGCGAATCTAAAGGTAAATTTAATAGCTATCAATTACGAATTTGTTAGGCCAGAGCTGTATTACCTTTAGGCGTACATAGTTGCCAAAATATGAAGTGCAGTAGTCCTGCAGATTTACTCAGAATGCGTGAACGTCCCGCTTGACCTATTGTTTGAAGTCGTGAAATGTCTGTCAATTATAGATGTTGAGACGAACTGCCAGCTTCTGCCAGACCCAGGACCATGCGAAGAGTTTGAGCCGTCTTGGTTCTTCAACAAGACTAGCGGAGTGTGCGCAGTATTTACTTATGGAGGGTGCAAAGGCAACGCCAACAGATTTACTAGTTATGATGAGTGTCAAGCAGATTGCCATGGTACGTAAAATGTGACAGAACTTACTTAGTAATGATATGCATTCAGATCAATTTTGCCTTTGTGAACGATAAAACTACATACGACAGGATCAATAATTTTTCAAGATTGATTTACTGATAACTCGATTTTAGCTGATGCTGTCTTACGCCTTTATCATATAATATGCCTCTCTTCGTTTACAAGCATATCTTTGGAATTTTTAAGACAGAACAATAAATTAAGAAAAATCAATTAACAAAATCAATGAAACAAATTTCTATCTTTATTTTCAGGTCGGAATTTAACTTTCTGTGAATTGCAGCGCGAGATAAACACCGCGAGCTCCAACGGTTTCATTCCTCGCTGTAAAGATAACGGGGATTTTGAGCCTTTGCAGTGTCAACGTACATTAGGCGAGTGCTGGTGTGTAGACGAGTCTGGCATAGAGTTGCCTGATTCTCGAACGGATGGCTCGCCTGATTGTAGCGGAATAGACGGTAACATTTTTCATCATTTATGTATGTCTAACGATTGTTTTCATGCTTGTAGATTTTTAGGAGTCGTTAAGGAGGGAAAGGAGTGGGGAGGGGGGTGGGGGTTGATTATGTAGCACTAAAAATTTTTTCGTCTATTACTTCATCTCTTTCATTATTTCTGTCTTATTTTGTCTGCAAATAGTTTTAAAAACTTTCTAATATTTTCATTGCATACCTTTATTTCAACAGCTATCGGAGGACGACGAAACAGATGAAAGATAACCACTGTAAAGTAAAAATTCAATTAACAACTGTAACTGATCCATCTGAGTATTGCTTACATTGTTTGCCGAAAAGCATTAAATAAGTGTTTCACTCTTTTTGAGCAAGGTATTGCTGAAGCAACCATCAAGGGCCTCACGCTTTAGTCCTAAACAACATTTTAAACTTACTTCCTTGGTTAACACCCCTTTAACAACTTTTGATTTAACCCCTGGCGTAGCAAAACAGTTTTTCCCAATCAATCTCAAGTTAAGGAATGACCTGTCTGCTGATCTTGTAGAGAGGCTTTTGCAAAAAAACAACTCATCTAATTCTTGAGCTTGCATAGCTTGCGAATTTTGGTTTCATGTGCAAGAAACCAGCTTCTTGTCGCATGTTTGTGCCTTCTTGCTGTTGGGTCCCCGTCCAATCACTCTTCTAGTGAATTCAAGTGCTTGCAAGGCAGGCTACGGCATGTAATGCTTCTCATCAAACTTTTCACTTTAATGTGGTAAAACTGTACATTTGCACTTGACTCATCACCTCTACATCTCTATCATGAGGGTCCCAACGGGGTGATGGCTTTTACGGCTAACGGTTAAATTCTGGTCATTTTACGTATTACTGTCAACCCAAAATGACACATGGTGGAAAGGAAAATTGTTATACTTAACTTCTTTTCAGACTAACTGTTAAAATTGGTCAATTTTACAGCTATTAGTTAATCCCGTTGAAACCTTCTATCAGGTGTCACGTAAGTTTAGTAACAAACTGATTTCCATATTCATACCGAATAGCATTACTATAGCCAGCATTACTATAGCCTAAGAAAAGAGGCTTTCCCTGCATTCAAATATTTGCTCCTTAGGTGTTATAAAGCACGATAGTCCTAGGTTAGTCACAGATAAATATATTATCTTACAAGTTTCGTCCACGTCGATAAGCTTTAAGGTTTCACAATTATTTGTATGTATTAACCTTTGTATGGTAAGGTATGTTAGGGTTGAATAAATCATACTTTTTCTGCTCTATGCGGTTGTCAAATGTGGCGCTTGTTAAATGAGCAAAAAGACGCAAATTTAGCAGCAATTAGGTAAAGAAACGGTCTCAAAATTAAACAACCATCATTATTTTCGTCGAGACACACAAACGCACCTGCAAGCTTGCGTGTATGTATGCACATATAGATAGATACCTAATGTTTTTTATGTTGCAGGTTAGGCAACCAATCAAAGCTAATCTGGACCTGCTAAATTACCAAGGAAAACGAAATGAATAGTTGAATAAGTAAATGGATAAATAAGGAATAAAATGATTAAAAATAGATAGTCAAATCCGAACTATACACTTTGATCTATGGTTTCGCATATTTTGGTGACCCACTTTCTTCTGACTGCCAGGGCAGGAATTAATACGTCCCTTACTACTTCAGTTATTTGCCAAAGCAACGCCAATAAATGCGATGTTTTACAGTGCTGTAATCAAATAAGTGGCGGATCTGAGTGTTATGACTGCTAAGCTGTCTGTGTCTGAAGAGCGTGTTTTCTTATCTTCACACCTTAATATGGTGCATCTTAATGGTTTGCTAAAGCGTGAGAGCTTTGTGGCATATACCACAGGACTCACAAGAGAGCAGAACGTCTTAATAAATCTCATTAAAAGAACTGCATTGCATGGGAAATCCCACGTTAAATACGATGTTCCTTCCAAAATTTCCACCGGCAACCACATCGCAAAGTAGATAATCGCGCAAAGTGTAAACGCCCTCGAAAGATAAAAGTTTTGTGTTTGTAACTTCCAAACGGTGGCATTTCGATTAAACGAAGGTCGTTTCCAAATTAAAATGTAATTGGTGACGATAATGGTCAAGTTGATAATCTCCAAAAACCATACCACCACTTTAGCGATAAGAACCCGATAAAAACCAGCCAGGGCAAATGCGAAGGTCATGCTCACCGCCATCGACAAAATCCAGATTAAAAAATTAGCCGTCATGTAGCATCTGAAACGAGTGAAAATGTGAGTTAGAGGCCAGAAGGTCCTGTAATACATGTCTAAGGAGATTGCAGCCAAGAAAGAGGTCGAAAAAGTGTCGCAGAGCGTTTGCAAAGAAAGATGCAGTTCGTCATGATTCAAACTGCAATGATGTCCATCTGATCGCAGCAAACCTAAGAAAATCGCGATAGCAGCCAAGCCTCTAAGAATGTCCGTGAATGACAGGCTAATCGCAAAGTATCTGACAAGATTGAAACGCCCTCTTATAAGAAAAGCAATGGCATAAAGATTTCCCAGAAGTATCAGAGTGGCCTCTGTTATGAAAACCACACACCACGCAGTAAGCACTTTAAAACCAAACGAATTTAGTTCTTTGTTGGAGAGGCTTGACGAACTGGTCTCCATTGAAAAGTTCATGCTGTGGAAATGAACAAAAGAATGAACAAAATATGAAGAGAGTCCAAATGAAAGATTCAGATTTATTTGGGGGGATGATAGGCTCCACGCAGTCATGTAAACAGGCAATGGAAGAAAGAGGAGTTTTATCAATTTTTAGATTTTGAGCGAAAATGAGAAGAGAGTAATTTTTATTGTTATTAGAAATTCAAAAAGAAGTTTTGAGGTCGAAATCTCTTCCTGCTGGGCTGGCATACTGAGTATACATTACATATTAATCAGTCGATCTTCGACGTCTCGGTTTGTAATAAAGCTTGGAGATCTCCCTTCGAAATCATTTTTAGGGAAAAAATGCTGCGGCAATTTTACTTGAGAGAGAATAAACATTTGTCGACACATTATCTCCAATCTAAGCAACTGAAGTTTTGGTCCTCCTAATGAACCGAAATGCATTCATTTTTTATTATTTACTTCATCAACCCTTCCAGCAAATTTTCTCTTTGCTTGAAAAACATGCTTCAAGTAAATCACCACTAATATTTTGGACATTTCTCATTTGAAATTATTGTTCATGACCTCTTTCGTTCTAGAAAATCAATTTTCTCTACGAGACTTATTCTATAATGACTGACTGAACTCGAGAGGAAAAAATTATGTTCCATTGCAGTGAAAGCGATAAACTCGTTCAGCATAATTATACAAATAGAAATTGCGTAATAAGAAACTTACCTTCAACAATTCCCCTTTTTAACAACTTAACCTTAATACTTTAAATGGTTAGGAAATGTTTAAATTCCAACTTGGAATTCTTTTATATTCCCATATATAGTGCCGTTTGAGTTTCTCAAGTTTAAAGGACACTGCAGATGTATAAAAGACAGCACGGAAATTCTGGTCTAAAAATAACTCACATGCTATTGGTGGAAGTTTTGTTTATTTTTTCTTGAGTTTCCTGGATACCTTGTTTAACTCTTGTTTCTTATTTGGGCCCAAAGGTGAGAAATGAACGGATTTATCAATAAGAGCAACGTTTATGCCTCCAAAGGCATAAACTGCAACCACCCCTGAAGAGACTCATTGCATAAGTTTATTCAAATCAATTTTTATTGTGATCCTTATAACTTACTCCATCATACGAAAATTACTTTTTTAAAATACGTGATTGAATATGAATAAAAATTTAGTGTATAATAAGTTTTAAGAGTTTCCTAACTCTATACTTACTGTAAATTTAACGATGTTTGTTTTAAGGATTTTCTTTAGATTCAATTTATAATTTGGAGAGGCACATCCTCTATGCGCTATTTCCTGTCTGTTGTCATTGTAATCGATTCAAGCAAACACAAACGCTTTCTTAGAAAGCCTTTGTTTAAAGAAATATAATTATATTGGGTGTAGGGTTTTCAGATAATAAACATTTCTCAACCACTTGAGCTTGATAATTAAAAAGGAACAATCTAAAGGAAAATATTAGAACCACACGTATACATAATCTGCCATGCCTTTTCTCTTTGGGATGGCTTCAAAAAAATACTAGTTTTGAACATTTTACAATATGAATTTAGCCTCCAAAAGGGAGAAATAGATTTGAGAGAAACGGCGAATTTACATGAAAGATGTGCAGTTCTATCGAACTGTTATCATGGACCGTTCTCTTTGCAGCAGAAACTTTAGCTATAATCGCAGGAAATATCATCACCGTCATTGTCTTCTGGAAAATGAGATCTGATTTCAAGAAGACATATTACCTTCTGATAAACCTCTCTATAGCCGATTTGACAGTTGGGATTTCGGCCTTGGAAATAACTATCAGCAAAATTTGGAATCTTGCAATATCGCAAAATATTTTCTTGAAGAAATTCTTAGCCTTATACCCCATTCACACCAGCAAAACATGTTTTGTTAAACTGGTTTTCATTGAATGAAAATTATAAACAGAGAACTGAAAAACTTGATTTTCCATTGGATTCAAGTACTTGTTAACTTGCATTTCCAATGTGCTACATTCAAGTCAAAAATATTCGGTTGAATAGTTTCTATGAAGAAAAAAAAAATTAAACTGTGTTTAACAAAACAACTTTTAAACATGTTTAAGCTTTGGTGTGAATGGGGCATTAGATGTTCTCGCCGAGAGTGCCTCTTTAGTTACATTGATGTTTATCGCTCTAGAAAGTTTTTTACGCAATAACGTATCCTTTGAACCACAGAACCTTAACCAAACGGGTTTATGTCCATGGTGTTTTGTGGCCGTGGGCTTGTGGTATGTTAGTCGCACTGATCAGCTTCTCTCCAGAGCTCCTTCCCGATTCAGCATTTCCCCTCGTTGCCCCTCTGATTTTGACATCTCTGGCCGTGATCGGTGTGTTGGCCGTTAGCATTTTGTACACGTTCATCTAGATTTTCTCGAGAAAACACGATCCTCGAATACCGCGAGACAGGCGCAAGCAGGACAAGAGACTTGCCAAAACCCTTTTCGTCGTGATATTGACCTCTGTTGTAACCTGGATGCCATTTGCTTTGATGCTCGTTCCGCTGCAAGAAATTCATGAAATTTGCAACATGTACATCAGGGCTTACTTTGCTGGAAGGTTTTTTCTGTTGGCAAATTCATTTCTCAATCCAGTTGTTTATTGTTTCCACATGCCAGAGTTCAAGTAGATTCTTAGAAGAATGTTCAGTTGTAATAGGGTGGGGTAAACTCAAATTGAGTCGAAAATTATTAGTATAGTTATGGAGCTGCCGCGACTTGTCTAAAAACGCGTTATTGTGCTTTTTTTCCGCAAAGTACTGAGATATAATTGTGTTTAGACAGTTTTTCACTAACTCCCAAATTATTTCTATTCGCTTAGAATAGTTTTCACAAATGGGCTCTGCTTCTTATCCATTTTTCCATTGCTTTCTCATTTTTTAAAGCTACGTGCTGCAAAGGTGGTAAACGTAGGTAAGCTGGAACGGAGCAGCACTGTTTAAAGGAAAAACATAAATTAAATTCACCTCAATAGTAGCCTTTTTCTACCGGTGACTTAGTGCTTTTATGTTTGTAATTTTAATCTGGAATACGGTTGTTATTGTCAAAGTTTGTCGATTTATCTTAACTACGACAACTCTTGCCAGAAGCTTCCGCAAAACAAATAATGTGGTAAAATTATAGTCAAAGAGTTATAATTTAGCGTCTTCAACCTTGAAATTAAATTTTAACAACACAATTCTTCGATATGTTATCATAGCTTACAATGAACCTGTCAAATTTAGTGTTTTACGTCGAGAGTAATTTCAGCTTCCTAATTTAAGTCCGGAAATGTCAAAAAAAGGTTATTAAAAAAATCCATACTCTTCGTTTCCATGAAGCGAGTAGTTTTAATTAATTTTAATTACGCCATACATGAATCCCACATTCTCGCTTTTGCAACTCTTCACGTTACAATATGCATTTGATGGATGCGCAATCAATATGATTACTGATGACAATAGGTCCCAGTACAGAAAAGGTGAAATTAATATTATTCATGAAGTTTCCATTGAAACTATATTTATTAAAAGCGGAAGAAAGTTGAAACAAAACAAACAAACAAGACAAATTTTCGTCAAAATGAAAAGAGGCTGTTGATTTGTCAACGTCCTTCCCTTCGTCAAAATTGCTAGAATTATTTCTGGAAAGGTAAACGATGATTTATTTTGGTCAAAAACTTTAATGAGAACATCAACTGTGTTCTTATATTGGTATACTTTATGTTCATTTCGATAGGATATTCTATGGATGAGCAAAACCGTTAAAAAAAATGGAACCAGAAAAGTGAATCCATTCTGAAAGAAAGAACACTTACTTTAAAAATGTGCATTTCTAGCGAGTTCTTTGCGTGGACAGCTCTCTTCATAACAGTGACCATTGCTATCATCGGAGGAAATATCATCACCATTATTGTCTTCTGGAAATTGAGATCCGTTCTAAAAAGAACTTATTACCTTTTGATAAACCTTGCGATCGCTGATTTAATTGTTGGTTTTGGAGGGGCTGTATTCACAAGTACGAGCATTTTGAAGCTTAACAGTACAGAAGAAAGTCCAGCGTCTACAATTGCTAGGTTCTTACGAATGGATGTTTTCTCTGGTACCGCGTCTTTGACGACTTTGTTATTTATCGCCGGAGAAAGATTTTTGGCAATTGCTTTCCCTTTTCTTCACAAGGTAATCACAATACGTTTCTACATGAAGTGCATCGCAGTGGTGTGGATTACTTCTTTTCTTATGACCGGAATCATTTTCTCGTCAGGCATATTTCCTACTTCTTTTTGCCGCACCATTTCCCGAGGAATCCTCGGTTACTTTACGATCGTCTGCTTGATCGCCATAAGCACTTTATACACCGCGATATGGGTGGTCTCCAGAAAGGTGAATGTTCGAATACCTCGAAATAGACGAGATCAGAACAAGAGACTTGCTAAAACCTTGGCTATTGTGACACTTACATCTCTCATTGGTCGGATTCCCCTTTCAGTACACACTGTCACTCCTTTCTCTAAAATAGATGGAAACTGCTTCTTATCCGGACCACGTATCATTGCACCTTTCCTTCAAATGGCAAACTCTGTTATCAATCCATTAGTGTATTGTTATCGCATGTCTGAATTTCGCGCAGTTCTTAAACAAAACTTTCCAACGTGCAGAAACTCCATCGGAAGATTCCGAGGCAGCTATGAATGTACCTAATCCTTAACTCAAGAAATGTCACTAAACTTGCTTTCACCTAAGAGCGGATGTTTTTTGTTCAGACCACAACTGGTCTCCACAAACAGTTTTACTTACTTCATATGCATATATTTATGTATCATAAGAATCTATAGTAACCTTAAGAAATGTCTCTAAAACTTACCCACTCCTCAATTTAGCGAGAGAAAAACTTTTCCGAACTCTCTTTAATAGACTGTAAGATGATTGACATAGTCGATACAGAGTTTTCATAATTTTAAGATTTATTTTCTTTTGGCAGCCGAAGCTATCGCTGCGCCATCAAAAGCTTCTTTTAGTTTTAAAGAACGGTAAGAAGTGTTAATCAGCTTAAGGTAGAGGAAGTGCTTATTTGATATGTATCTGCAGATGCACGGCAGAAGTTTTTCCAAGAGAAATTTTTTTAATTCTCTTGTTTTTCTTTTAAATGTAATTTTGAAATATAATTTACGAACCATTCAGAGTTGCAACAAAAGTAGGTATGATGGGGAATGGCTTCGTTCTCCTCCGGACTCTCCTCCTGAATTCGCCACTGCGACGAAGTGAAAACTTCATTTTTACGAAAACGTCTGACTGTTCAAGTAATATATATTTAAATTGCGCAAAGACAATAGAGGCTGAGATCCCTGCTCGGAGCTTATAGCGTTTCTTAAATCTAGATTTAAGGGCAGACGTAGTGTGCTGATATTACCTTCAACTCATAGCATAGAGTCATACCACTTCTACAGAGATGAATTATCACAACTGATTTAAATGTTTTGAAAATTCAGGCAGGCAAAAGTTTCATTTTAAAAGTCTGAGGTGGATTTATAGGTTTAGCTGCCCAGGTTTATTGATGTAATTTATTGTTGTGCCCAGATGCCACCTACTGGTTCACGAGAACTGCTTGGTCAGTTTGGCTATGAAGTTAGGGTTGCATGACACAAATTGCGTCTTCAGCCAAGAGCAATTATGAACGGTTCGTTTGTTTTGTCTATCGTGTGATAACTCTGAGTTATTTTCTGATTTTCTTAGAAATTTTTAGATTAAACAAAATCCTCAAACACCCTAGATTTTGTAGTAATGGCTGATCTTGGTTTAAGGGCTTCTGCAGTTGATTACCATCACTGCAGGCTAGCCCAGATAACTTATTTACCAATAGAATGTTACCTCATTGATATGAAAGAACAACATCTGTTATCATCTGTTAACAAGAAGTGGTTTGAATATATATCGAGACGGGTTCAAGTTAAATATATTGTCAAAATGTATCCTATAGTGTTTTTTCCGGGCTCAGATGAATGCAGAAAATTCCGTGTATTCCTGCTGGGTCTTCGTTCTCATTTACAGCCTTCTGCTGCTTGAAAAAATCTTCCCAGTGTGCTCACGGAAAATATAATCGGATCTTTCGTTTCTTCTTGGTACCGATAAAGTGCATGAAAAAAGTCTCTGATAAAGAAAAAAAAATCGATAGTTGGACAACCTGTCATTCTTGAAACCTATTCTATTTATTTGTTTTTGATTGTGCAGTTTTACCGATGGAGAAGTCAAATATCGAGTTTGTTGAAATTACCTAATGGTAAGCTGAAAACTGTTTGACTCTATCAAAAAATAACATCCTTCATCAATTTTTGGATAGTTTATTTTGAATAACAAAGATAAAAGGAAAGTTCAATTAAAATAACAGGTTGGTTCCTACTGGTGACTCGACTCATATTCATTCTGAATGCAACTGTTTCGAATATATTATGTTAGATATTTGTTGTGAGGTGTGGCACTGAAATCACAATCAAACAGAATTTGCGCAGATACGAGGTTGAATGCTTGTTTCAAGGACCTTTTATCCATATGATAACATATGCACCCTAAATACTGTTCCATATATACAAAGCTAAAGCCTAATCTTGTTCTACAGAGGAAAAAGTTTACATTTTCTGTTACCATCAGTATTAATTTTAACTGGAATAACAATCACATTCCAGCAATTATTCTGTTTAACTAAGCACTACTCACTGGTCGCACGATCTTCACGCATTTAAATTCCAAAAGAACGGAACGTGCTCAAACACGGCTACACTACCATGGATATCAACATTAACACTAGAAGCATTTGCGGAAGCAAATTGGAAGCAATATGACTCTTAATGGGAGCCTACAGATAGAATGAGAAAAGGTAGGGTAGTAGCCATTCAACACGTTTTTCATAGATCAGTCTATTTCATATCTTGACGACCGGAGCTTGATCATTGCCCTTTGCGTTTTAAGGGAACTTGGGAGAACACAATCTTAAGAAATCTAAAGTTTGCAACTGCTCCAGTCTCCGGACACAAGATGAAGTCCGGAGAGAAAGTTATTCGTTTCTATCTCAGAATATTCCTTTCATAAAAACCATTTCCAAGTATGAAATTGCAACAGGTATCACGGACTGAAACAGGTTCGTACCATGCTAAACTTTGTATGTATTTATCACTTTTAAAAATGATGACTTTCTTGAACGAAGAGTCAGTACTTTCGTCCTGAGAGGAATCTTTTCCAACTTTATTTTGCTCTACGGGTTATCTTAATTCAAGCAGAGACAGTTATATTTACAAGAGTGTAATGATTTGATGCCAACCTGTCTAGTTTAGTATTCATATTATATTCGTTGTTACTATATAAGCTATAGTTTACTTCATCTTTTTTCCATTCTAATTAGAATCATTACGTCTCACCGTTAAAGGCCACTGAAAGAAAAATTAATATATTTACCCAAAAAATTGGTTTCCCTTTAAGATCGCATTCCTATGTTCTTTTTTTAGAGAATTTCCTGCAATTTTTTAAAATTTACAAAAGAGTAGATATTTGAAGTAAAGAAATGTATATGTCAATTAAATGTAAAGAAAATGTTGAATATCAAGTATTAGATTTTTTCTTTAAATTTTAATGAGAAGGTAAATTAAAATGTATGTTAATGTTTATGTACATCACTAATACTTGAAAGACTTTTTTTTCAACCTTCGTTTCGTATCGTGAAAGTGGGATGTGAGGCACCGACAGAGATAGCACCTTGGTGAGAATGCTATCTAATTTTATGGAAAATGATGCCTGAGGCTGAATCGGAGTAGTCCCTGGAGCGCTTTCCATTTACATGGCGAAGTCGAAAAGCATTTTGTATGAGAAGGAAACCGGTAATTACAAGTAGAAGACGAAGGAGACTTGGCTGTGCTCTATTCCATTGTAATACACTAATCAATATCACATATCTGATCATAAATAGTGGAGAAAAGCTTCTCCTCCTACACATCCCCTATACTTTTTCCTCTTTTTTTCCCATTTAAAATATAATTTTTACACAGTCAGACTCTCTGTAGCATTTTAAAGCGTGACATTAAGAGGCTTACTTTTGTTTCGGCCGAATGTCATTCCATCATGATAATTTGTTTTTGCCTGTCAAATTTCATTTGTAGTCGCTTTCGCTCGAATTAAAAAAAGTCGTTCAAAATTTTTCAAAATTCATAGAAGTCGAAGAAGTAATTTAAAAGATTCAAATGTCAACAGGAGCTTTTTTGAATGAAAATTCGCCATTGATATTTTCAACAAGAACTTTCTCCATCATTTATGATGAACAACGAATTCTGAGGTTGTGTGTACTTAAGACAGATGAAATAGCACGTAAATAAAGAAATTTTATCAGTTATGAATTTGCGCCAATATGAATACAAACAAAGGAAGCTTTAGTTAAACTTTAAGTGCATGGGTTCCTAATTAAACCCGAAAGTAATCGAAATGAGATTCATTTCAACCGCGAGGACTACTTAGTATCCTAAAACTTGCAGAGTGAAATAGTATATCAGCTCGGCTTAGAGGTCGCAGTTGGAAGAATACATTGCACCGCTACCCTATTGAATGCTTTTGGATTTGCAAGAGAAAGAATTTTCAATGAACAAAAAGTTTCAAAACAGTTCTCAATACATCTTATTATGGATAAAATTATATGGAGTGGAAACCTTTGCAATCTTTTTGGGAAACTCTTTTGCGATCGTCGTGTTCTGGAAAAGAAGATTTCACTCGAGGAAAACCTCTGTTGTCCTGATAAACCTGTCTGTTGCTGACTTGATGGTAGGTGTCAGTTCCGTAGAGGATATTATCAGTTACATTTGTTTGCTTTCGAAGGCAAGTTGTGGATAGGATTGGACGACAAAATATTTCATTCTGGGAGAATTTTCCGGCTGTGCTTCTTTTAGTTTCCTTGTCCTCGTTTCTTTGGAGCGGCTCTATGCAATAGTGTGGCCATTTCGAAGTAGAACCACATCCTCGCGAACATATATGATAGCTGTTGGAATTGTATGGCTTCTATCAGGAGCGGCACCTGCCTTGGCGTTGTTGAGCAAATCAAGTGAAATTTTGCCAGTTGAAGTCTATGAGTGGTTTGGATCTGTAATCATGATTGCTTGCCTGCTAACAGTCTCGTGTGCATACGCCCTTATTTGGTTTTATTCCAAAAGGAAGGATCCAAGGCTGTCTCAAAATAATCACATGCGCAACAAAAATTTAGCAAAAACTCTTTTTATTGTAACTGTTCTTTCTCTAATAACTTGGCTACCTTTTGCTGTCGTCTTCAACTTCAGCTCTATCATAGAAAGCAGCAGTGTAATAAACCGAGTTACTCGATGTCTCCAGTTAGGAAATTCATTCATCAATCCAATTGTTTATTCCTTGAGAATGCCAGTGTTTAGGCAGATCGTGAAAAATATGTTTCTAAACGCAAAAACAACACGACTAAATGTGCACCAGCGTAAGACCTGCCCTCGAACGGACGCCATCGTTTTAGCCGCTTTCTCCAACTCAAATAATACTTTCAAGTGAGCCTTGAGCGTAAACAAATATCTTCTCAAAACTGAAAAAAAAAAAAATTTCTTTGAAATTAAAAAATTTCAGTACAGATTCGAAAGACTTCTCGGTCATGGTTTGGGAGTTTTCTAAGTTAGTCCGAGTTGTATCTTTTGTGATCTTTCTATTGAAAAGGTTAGAATCCGCTCGGATCAAAAAATTACGGAAAAGAAACAGACATCACACAAAAACTTTTAAGTGATTTGAATATCCTCTCAGTAAGTTGAAGGGAAAGTTCAAGGACAAAATTTTTTAAAGATGTGAATATGTTTAAGTGGTCTCCTGCGAATGACAAGTATCCGGCATTCGCTAAGAGTACATTAAGTGTTTTCGTTTCTGTGCTAAAGACACCTTCTGATTGTTCTCCTTCGTTTGAAATTCGATTGATATGCCAACTGACTGTATTCAAGAATGACAATGATTTGTTTTGTCTGTCACGATTTACACGCCCCATTTATACTTTTTGCCAGCTTTTGATTGGTAACTGCCATGAAAAATGAACTGAATATGATGTGAAGTAGAATAAATATAAGGCAAGCAGTGTTTCAAAGCATCAGCGCAAATTAACTTTTTTTCTCAGGACAAATTAAAATCACAGAAGTTAGGACTCTGTTTCGACCTCCAATTCATTCTCTGCTTCACAGGAAAGGGGTTTTTGTCGCAGACCATACAGTAGCATATTCATGAGAAAGTTTTATCACCCCGGCCTACACTTATTTGCTTGGGAAAGTACAGCTGTAAATGAGAAAAATTTAGTAGTTCCTTGGGGGGTTTGCCTGCTGGAAACCTTTCACTTTTCCACAGTGTCGAAGTCTTTCTCCGTCTGTTTTACGCTTCAATGTCAATTAAGTACCACCATGTGAAAAAGCTGTTCTATGTTCCCTTGCAAATACCAAGGAGTTGATAACCACTTTTAATCAGATCTGCATTCGATCAAAACGAATAAAAAATTGTAAGATACTCGTGCAGAAATACCCCGTGGCTGAAAATCAAATAAAGTCAGCGCGCTAATCAAACAGCAAAAACTTTAAACTAGCGCTCTTCACTCTTCCAGATTTTGAACTTTATGAAACGCTGTGAAATGGATAAGGGGCCTGCTGTTTATCTATGTCAGAATTTTATTCCAGCAGAGCTAATGACTTCAGTTGCGATTGTTTGTCGAGTTTTATTATATATTTGCCTTGGTTGGAAAAATTACTTTTATTCAAAGACCTGTCAAAGCGACCTTGGAAAGCAATTAAATTAAGAAAATGGGAATAGAAAACCGAGGGGGTAGAAAACCGAGGGCGAATGACTCATGTTCCGGCAGCTTCAAATTGAGCGTAACATTTTATAAAACATTGACATCAATGGAGCTGAAATGCAAAAAAATCAATGTGAAGCACAAAGATGTTTGGTGCCGTCTAGTTGAATAACCAGTTCGCAATTCTGTGTAGCTAATGTAAAAGCCACCTTGGAAAAATAATACATTACAAAATCAACTTGAAATGACGTAATAATGAACTTTGGCCGCCGTGCGGCTACCAATAGCAGAAGAGAGATGAATAGTGTTGTCGTTTCTTGAAGTAGTGTGGGACTCTATTTAAATAATTTTGATTAAAACTTAGTAGAAATTTAAATTGCTTTGAATTTGATCGAATGTTAATGTACTCTTAAAAGAAAACAACCGTTGCTTAATAGCGTGTATGTTTGTTTCTAAAAAGAGTGAGCGGAAATAAGATTAGCACTGCGAAAAGCCATTTTTCCGTTTGCGCGGTATACAGGGAAAAACTTAGACAGTTGGGATATTCAGCTAGGGTAAAATTAAATTGTTACTTAGTTTTCGGGCTGAAAAGATAAAGCTTCAAATGGGTGAAAGGTGCGAAGGTGCTGAGCTAAAAAACGTACTTCCATGGATAATAATATTATGTTTGGAAGCCCTGATTATACTCTTTGGAAATATCATCACCATAATCGTGTTCCTGAAAGGGAGATTTCACTTGAGAAAAACTTCTGTTGTCTTGATAAACCTGTCTGTTGCTGATTTTCTGGTTGGTCTAGGTGCTCTTGGGGACATCGCGAGTGACATTTGTTCGCTTTCTTCATCGTCTTGCAAGACACATATTACTTTGATAGAGAGGTATTTCCCTCTTGGAGAGTACTCTAGCACTGCATCCATTAGTTTCCTTGTCCTCATTTCTTTGGAGAGGCTCTACGCGATAGTTTGGCCTTTTCGCAGCCGAGTCACATCGACACGAACATACATATATGTTGTTTTAGGAGTTTGGCTTTTATCTGGAATAGCTCCTGCCCTTGTCTTGCTAAGTAGTCAACATAAGATTCGTGCAGTCCCAATCGAAGTTTACTTGTGGATTGGATCGCTCTATATGTATGTTTGCCTGATAGCCATCGTGGTTGCGTATTCTATTATTTGGTTCTTTTCTACAAAAAGAGATCCAAGACTTTCAGAGAGTAGCCAGATACGCAACAAACATCTTTCAAAGACAATCTTTATTGTAACTTCTCTTTCACTGATAACTTGGCTGCCTTTCGCTATTGTGTTCAACTCGAGTTTTATCATAAGTGGTAAGAGCACAATTTTACATAGATTCATTCGTTGTCTTCAGCTAGCAAATTCTTTCATCAACCCGATTGTTTATTGGTTTAGAATGCCGATTTTTGGAGCAACGCTAAAGGCTACACTCCTTACAATAAGAACACGATTAAGCTTCAGGAAACGCAAGACTTGTACACAAGCGGATGCTGTAGTATTAGCCTCTTTTTCTAACATAGATGTATGTCCCAATAAAATCACCCCCCTTGATTAACTGCAAAAGAAATGAGCCGAAAATATTTATTATTTATAATTCTTAAAAATAAACTATAGTACGAACTAGCTGCGAAAAAAGGCAAAAAATTAAAGAATATGAATCAAATAAAATTAAATTAAGCTTTATTAACTTATTGCAACACCTGAGGCGAAAGTGAACAAATACAATCACACTTTTGAAATCCAGAATCTTTATTATTATTAGCTTCCGCCTAAAGCGGGAACAACTTTGTTTCGTTTACGCAGTGCTAAATAAGATAAGGTGAAACAGCAAAACCCGTAGTAGCCTCAACAGTAGTTTAATGTCTAAATGATTTTTACATGTTAACGTAAGGAGTAGCTTCGGACGAAGACACGTCGCCCATTTATGGAGCCTTAAAGGGTTGACATGAAAGTGTAAGCAGAGAAATTTTTGAAATGTAAGTCTGCCAAAGCGGAACACAGCTGTCAACCTGGCCAATATGAGAGTTAATATTCAATATTTTCGTTTCTATAATCAAGTCCTTACCCTAATTTTCATTTTCCTTTGGGTTTAAATTTGCTAACTTGGCTGGTTCAAGACAGGTAATTCATCTTTTCGCCAGCTATTGATTCGTGGCTAGTTTCCTTCATAGAATTAAAATAAATATAAAGAATATTAAAAATAAGTTAGTTTTTTGCACAACACAGTCCAAATGGGCTTCGCATTCCCTTTTCTTGGCATTTTAAGTTTACTTGACAGTAGCCAGCAAGGTGCCTTTATGATCTAATAAGCGAGAGTTCATGATAATAAAAAGCTAGATATAGACCTAACAGCAGGTGATTTAGCTCTAAATATACTCTAATATATAAAAAAATTAAACTAAAAAAAGAAAAAAAAATAAGAGCAAATTAATGTTTCATGTAAGTTCTGGCAAAGTAAAGTCAGGTTCATTTTTCGTTGAAAGCTCTTTTGTGGCACTCCATTCGTTTTCTTTATCACAGCTGAGCGATTGCCACTGAAAAAGCACAATATCAATAATCACCCTAGCAAATACTTTTGCTCCGTATGTTTGCTGGTAAACGTAAAGCTGTAGACGATGCCCTGAGAAAAATTCAGGTGGAGAAGTTCTCCATTTTTGTACGGAACCTAACGATGACAGGAACACAAATGAAGTCAAGCAAGTCATTTTGCATAGAGTTCACTTTTCCTTTTTCCTTTTTCATGTTGCCTAGCTAAAAAAGGGAAACAAAAAAATGAAAAAAAATTTTTACACTTAATAGAGAAACTAACAGGAAATCTGTCACAGCGACCTCAGAAAAGTAATTAAACCAAAACACAACGGGAATTGGCTTTCTTTATGTACTCCGTCACCAAGAATAGAGTATTCATGAGGGATCACTAGTGCTAAGTTGAGGAAGTGCAAAACACTCGATGAAAAATTGGCTTTAGAAAATGACCATAGAAAACGGACAACTACCGTTAAACTCAAATTAGAGTAGGTAATTCACAATTGATTAATTAATTCGAAAATTCTGCCAAAGAAAATAATTAATCAGGCCAAAAAAGCATGTAGGAATGACTTACCATTGGGTGAACTTCTGCAACAGTAGAAAAATCTTATGACTGAAACGAATAACGAGTTATCAGGTTGCTTGAAATAGGGCGTACCACTTGACTGAAAATTGAATATGGTTGTCGAACAAATCCTAATATCGTTTGCAAATTACAGATGTTTTTTCTCGAATGTAAATAAAACTAGGAAACAAACAAAAGAATGTGCGCTTTTGTCAAAATTTAATCAAGGCAATACTCATTTTGGCTACGGGAAATCAATCGTTTTTTATGTGTGAGGCGTAAAGTTAAATTCGACCGGGGAATAAGCGAGAAAACTGAAACTTTCAGCCAGGGAAAACTCAAGTCAACCTCGGCTGCTTAGAGACTACAGTAGAAATGTGAAAAACGATTTAAATGAAGTAAATGTGTGAAGGAAATTTTAAAAACACACCTTTCTGGATAATCATATTTAGTGTGGAAGCCTTCCTAATACTTTTTGCCAATATTGTCACCATTATCGTGTTCTGGAAAAGGAGATTTCAGTTGAGGAAAACTTCAGTTGTCTTGATAAACCTGTCTGTCGCGGATTTACTGGTTGGTGTTGGTGCTATTGAAGAGTTTATGGGCTTTATTTGCTCGCTTTCCTGGTTCAAAACATACTTGATTCTCCGAGAGTACTCTTCCTGTGCTTCTATTAATTTCCTTGTCCTCGTTTCTTTGGAGTGGATCTATGCGATAGTGTGGCCTTTTCGTAGCCGAACCCCATCGACAAGAACATACATATATGCTGTTGGGGTAGTATGGCTTATATCCGGAATAGCACCACCTTTTCGTCGTTGAGCATTTTAAGTAAACATCTGCCACTTAAAGTTTATTTATGGCTTGGATCACTTTACCTGGGTGCTTGCCTGATAACAATCGTCGTTGCATATTCTGTTATTTGGTTCTTTTCCAAAAGCAAGATCCAAAACTTTCAGGAAATAACCACAGACGCAACAAGCAATTGGCCAAAACCTTATTTGTTGTGACTTTATTTTCTCTGATAACTTGGCTGCCGTTTGTCGTTGTGTTTAGCACACATACTATTATACCAAACAACAATGTGATTTCCCCAATTTATTGATGTCTTCAGCTGGCAAATTCTTTCTTCAACCCAATTATTTACTGCTTTAGAATGCCGATCTTCAGAGAAACGCTCAGGGCTTCGTTCCTAATAAAGAAGAAAAAAAAAAAGAATTTGCGTGAGGGGACACAAGGCTTGCTCACAAGCAGATCCCGTTTTTTTAGCCACTTCCTCCTTCTTAAACGTATTTCCCAGTAGTATCAGTCCCTGCGGTTCAATGCCAACAGACTGAATGGACAAAAAAGTTACTTTAAGTAAGTTAGCAGGAAAAGAAAATGAAATCCCTTCATGCTTGGCGTCCATTCTATCAAATTAATGAATTCGAATTCATCGTGGTTCTATGACTCTTATCTCTCTGGCCATTTTTTCCTGTTTTCTCTGTTGGAGTGCGAATGAGCTGAGTTTCACCTTTTTCTTGACGTTCTAGGCGGGTTTATCGAACTAAGTCACATGTGTAAAATAATTTTACGACTGGAAACTGCTTAATACCCCTATAGTCGCTGAGAAATATGGCAAATAAGATATAAATTATAAAGGATTTCGCAATGCAAATGAATAAATATGATTAATAAAATAAAAAGTTGTTAAGCTAATTTTGTTATGGTTGCCATTTTTACAATGGCAAATAGAAAGTTATATTTTGCACGATTTTCAACACTCGTCTCCTTTTTCATCATGATAATAAGTGAAATTGTTGCAACAAATTGACATTTAACCGAGAGCAACTTAAAAAGAAATCAGCTTTATTTTCTTCTGTTTCAAAACCTTAGTTGAGCTTTGAGATAATGACTAAAACGGAGGAAGACATATTTTTTGTGCTGCTTTTGTCAACCCACTTTCACTTCTATCGTGCTATCAACGCTTCATATCTGCTTTCAAAACAGAAAAGAACACAGTCAAACCTCGCACGATCAAATCACTACACGCTTACAAAAACCTTTTAACAGCGAAGAGAATTCAGCTCTTTTCCTGAACAGTGACCATGTTTCATTTCATCGAAGCTGACGCATGTTTTAAATTCTTCCCACCTGTCAAAGTTGTATTAGCAGTTAGGCTTTCGGACAATCAATAATTGTCTTTTACAACTCGCATACCCCTGACGAGCTTACATTTAAGTATTGATAGTAATAAAAAAAAAAAAAAGTCAATGGCCTTTTTTCGCTCTGAGGAGGGGCTAACGCTCGATAAGCAAGCTTAGAAGCTCTTTACGGTGGCCAATTTTCATATCAACTCAGATAATAAAACAAAATAATCTTGGTATACTCCTTCACAGACGCAGCACCCCAGTTTCTTTAGAAATTTACCCCCTTCATTCATTTGGCGAAAATAATAGATTGCTTTTAGGACTATGGCTTTGTTCAAGAATAATATGAGGTTATGTGGGATTCTGTCTAATTTTCAACATGACCACATCAGTGAAAAGCGATCATACTTATCAAAACGTCTGAGATAACACTGTAGGTATAATGCAGGGACAGGAAAAGTATTTAAGCAGTGAGAACAATGATCATTGACCCCAATTTTGTAAGGTCGCTCAAAAGAGACTGAATTGTTAGCTTGACAGCGTTCTCCGATCATCTCAGCACTTATGCGACGAGTGATCTGTTGAAAGCTTGCTCTTACATATTGTTATTTACTTTTTGGAAGTGGAAAACGACAGTAGATGCAATTGAGGTTCCTTTTTTCTTTACAGGTGAAACAACCCCCTAGCAAACGTATACTCAAGTGCTCTTCATTTTAAATTCAGCTCAGTAACTCTAATTTTCAAATGAATTGCACTGAAGTAAAAACTTGGGGCTCCGGCTCTTTTAAACTAAAAAGCGCACCTACAGTAAACGAAGCCCTCGTCTTTTAGCCGCAAACCAAAAACTGAATTTTAGCTGGCGACTGACAGCTGTTCTCTTGCTCGTCAATTAGTTCGCTTAAACCATTTTTTTCGCGAATCGCGACTAGCCGACGTGTACCTGAACCTCCTTCATAAGAGTTATGCTGACCTGGCTATTTCGTTCGTTTTGAAAATAAAAGTAGATGCGTTGGGCAATAACATCTTCTTTACCTTTAGTTAGAAAAACTTCAAAAGCAGCTCGACTTTGCTTTTTTTCTGTTGTAAGGCACTCGATCATGGGGTAGAGTATTCTGCGGTTTTATAAAAACACCAAAATTTCTTTTTCTTGCCAAAACCGTTTCCGAAGCGCTTTACAACAAAGCACTCAGGACTTTTTAAGTTGTTGAAACATGGTGGCAGACGCGACACTTTTAAACAAACTTTCCTACATTTTTTTCAATCGAAGTTTTTAGCAATGACAATGTACCAGCATAAATTATAGCACTGAATATTTTTGACCATGCATGATTATTCGAAAGATTAGTTTTGGAAGTTTGCCGACTATCGCTTGGCAGCTTAAAAAGGATCAATGACAGCTGCCATTACAGATGTAAGATGAGTTCTAAAATTGTAAAATTTATTACAAGAGAGAAAGATGCAAATACAAAGCTTTCGTCAATAATGCATCAGTCTTAAGTCACTAAACACCTATATTTTACCTACTCCACTTTCTTCCTTGCACATTTATCCAGTTCAACTCACAGGAAATCGCCCAGTTATCGACTATCGTTACCATAATTGATCGGTTTTTTTCGCCGGAGAGGACAGTAATATAACGTAAGCAACGACATAGTGCGCTGCGAATTAACATGAGTTCCCTGAGGTGAGTAAATCGGATGAATACCATTACATCTTTTAGCACAAGAGCTTCTATGATGACGAGATCGGTCCTCTCTAGCGTGCATCTTATGCTTTTTGGAAAGATAATCTACATACATGTTCTTTCCGTTGGTTTAAGAAGAATGCGGCCGCGATCAAACATTTTTCCTTGTAAATTTAATGCGCCGTAAGGAAAAAGCAGGTGGCAGGCAAAAAATTGAAGGTTTAAAACTCGCATTAGTGAGAGGAGAAAACTGTTTTGACCATTTCAAGTTTGATCTGCGTTAACAAAGTCTCTATGTATATGTGTTAGTTTTCTAAGGTAACATTTGCCAATGTGGAAAATATTGTTCCAACCACCATCAGCTACTTAAAACACTTTCCCCTCCTTTTAGGTAAAATCGCGATGTTTGATAATTGTTTGCCGAGGGCGAAGTAGACTTTGCCGGATAATCTGAACGCTGTCAAGAGGATATTTTAGCTTTAGGACATTAACATTCATTACGCAGAAAATCATAAGGGAAACTGCATTTGTTTTTGATGCTCTGTTCCTCGTTTCTTCTGCGCTAAGAGACATTGCCAGCTGAGGGCTCCAATTCGCATTGAGGTTTCTCGTTCAAGCGAAAGTGTGCACAGTATCCCTTAACACTGTGGCTGGACGTTTTATTCAAGGCAAAACCGCCTATTTTTAATTATTTTCGCAGGGTGATTTCTGACACAGAAAGTCCTGAGATGAAGAATATAAGCAGCAATTTACCTCCAACCTGGGAAATGTGGATTTGGAGCACGTCATTTCTGATGGGAAGCTTAGCCACTTTAGTAGCAAATCTGATCACGTTTCAAGTCTTCTGGAATCAAAGAAGACATTTAAGGCAGACTAGCTTTGTATTAGTAAACTTGGCCTTGGCTGACCTCAGCGTGGGTTTGTCAGAGGGATGTTTTGCTGTAGAGAACTTGCTGTCAAGTTACATGGGAAAAAAGCCCACTGAAATAGGATGTTTAGCTGTTGACGTTTTTTCAGAAGGCGCTTCCTTGACCTTCCTGGGTCTTATGTCGCTAGAGAGAATGCATGCTGTGTTTTGGCCTCTCCGACATCGTATGACCAGACCTCGCAGTTATATTTATGCTATCTGTACATCATGGTTCTTTACCACCATGACGACCGTCCTGTTCCTTTTATCTTACGTAGGACTTGTTAACCAGATAATAACAATTGGTCTATTTGTGTTTTTAATGGCTGTTATTCCCATTAGCATCTGTGTTGTTTACTCAAGAATCTGGCTTCATTTGCGACACATAAAGAAGCAAAGCTTAAGAAAACACCGCAGCCCGACAACAAACAAGCTGACCAAGACTTTGTTGATTGCTTCTTTTCTTTCATTGGCTGCATGGCTTCCTTTAGGCGTTGCGTTACTGGTTAAGTTCCTTTGTGTCGGCTGCTTGTCGTCAGTGAATGTGACTCGATTGGTTTACGGAGGAAGAATCCTTCAGTATGGCAACTCCCTTTTGAACCCAGTTGTTTATAGCTTACGGATCCCCGAGTTTAAAGACAAGATAATTCAGCTATTTTGTAAGCAGCGTCGCCGGAAATTACGACGAACTGCTCCAGAAACGGCATGCCAGGTGCACGCGTTAAGATCAGCAACTCCAGTGTTACTTTCGTTTACATCGTCAAACTCACCACTGCATCTAGAACGGTCAGGAGTAGAAACATGCTTCACGATGACAAGTAATTTATGATGGTAATGGGGTCGAGTGGAGCCCAATTGGGTCTGTGATCATACAAGTGATTGACAGACGGAATTGGACGACAGGAAGTCCTGTTACCAATTAATCATAACCATTTCAGTTTCCGAAAAAATCAAATACACTTAGAACAAATATCTCCCGTGGAGACAGTGTCTTGATATAAAAAATTCCTCCATTTTGGAAATTCCCCAGTTTTCCTTTGAATAAGTGGTTTCTGCTATGGTTATTGCGATCAATTGAGATTGGTGAATATAGCTAAGTGGATTTAGTATGATTGGCTGCTTCAACTGTTCGATTACAGGTATCCGATTACAGTCAACTATCTGATTACTCTGTTCGATTACAACTATACAGAATGATCAGTGAAAAATGAAGCTGCGAATGCATCAATAACATTTGAGGAATTTGTAATGGTTATGATTAAAGGAGTATCAAGGGTATAATAGCTTATCTCGAGTCCCTTCAAGTATCCTATCAGGTAAAATTTGGCTATCTTAATCGATATCGTTCTGAGATTAGTGTTTACCGAAATAGTAGTTCTCTACAAGCATTTATTTGACATCTGATGATTTGTGCTATGTGGAATTGTGGAATTACAGCTTGATTGATAGACTTTAAATTCTCAAGGAAACGTGTAAGGAAGTCTTGAAGAGGCTTAGATCTGGGAGGGTAGAATAGACAGTTATTGAATACTTTAGTATCTGTCATAACAGTCGTTGTTGGTGCCTCGCTTAAGAACGATGACTGATTACTGAGCAAAGAGTTATGAAAGAATTGGAATGAGAGTGAGTTTTTAACTGTCAAATAAGGCTGAGCTAGCTGTAATTGCTATAATTCTGGCAACTCTTGAGACGTGTGTCTGTAGGACGTAGCCTGTGCCCACCATATGTCATTTGGGTCATGAAATAGTGAAGTATCAAAGATAATTACATATTCACTTAAGTAAACCCCTCCGCTTAAAGTGTTATCGTTAAGAATGGCTCAAAGTTCCTTACACAGTTAATTACATTTAGCCCTCACCCACCCCCTAATGAAAATCCACCACTTAAGCGATATTTCTTTTTCTTACAGCGTTTTTAGTTTTATTTGGTTGTTTTTTTCCTTAACTTAATTCCTTTTCCATATGTCTACCATAGTTCCGTCGGTCCATTACCAGTTTCTTTCAGTTTAGACTGGAACCGTTCTCCATTGATGAGAAAATGGGATTTATTTTCCAAAGGATTGGCTAGAATACAACTGATTTTCAATCAACTATTTCGCATGAAAAGAAAAAAACCAAACAACCAAAAAAAGCATATGGCGCAAAAGTGGTTTTTTGCACGAACACTGAGAATTTTATATTTAAACATTCTCTGTTTTCCTTCTTCCCTTCTCTAATGACGGCCCAGGAACCAGCCTACGTGTATGATAAAAAGGAAAAAAATCATTATACTCAAATTGCTAACATTGTAATGATTTGTGTCAGTTTGAGGTAACAAAAAATATAATTCGTTAGAGGATTACATAGCTGTTTAGCTTAGAAGAACAGGAATAACAAAGGTACTGGCTGGCGCGCATTGTGCTCTCAACGCACAAAAAGCAGAATTTCCATTGTAAGTAGATAGAGATGCTCCCTTGTTGAGATATCAATGGTATGGGATGTTAAGGTTCGCGAGGTGATAAACTCTGAAAGAAAGTGTTCTTAAGGGATTTTTAAAAGTTTGTTGTGTTCAGATAAAAACGAAGGCTAATTCAATACGGTAAAGTTGCTCCTGGCAACAGGACATACGGTAACCAATCAAACTGATCGCATGTTGTGACTGACTACATGCATAATTTTTTTTTTTATCTCTGCAATAAAACACTGATATTGCAGCCGATGTTATATATATATATTTGAAGTAAGGCAAACTTCAAAATATTTTGGAACTGTAGTCTAATCAATTACTTTGCTTTTTGAATTTAGAAGGTCTCACCACAGACATTGAAAGGCGAAAGACAAAAAATTATTTCAAGACTGACCTTATTCATTTCGTTCCAATTTCGTTTAAGCTATGTTATTTCCCACAGAAGGGCATCTGTTTTTGTCATTTATTGTATTGTCCGATAATTTTTTTTGGAAAATATGGTATTTATTTTCATGTCGAGTTTCAAGTATTGTGATACCACTAATTAAGGATATCTTTTATAACGATGAAGCTGAATGCAGAGGATGTAGCCCCCAGGACGGAAATCCACGCGGCAAATAGCTTGAGTTATTCACCCACACTAAGAGCAATATTGCTGGTGTTTTCCCAAATAATTCAGGGTGTATTCAAGTCATTGCTAATCAAAGTACAACGAAGACACACCGCCTATCTGCTGATGTGTGAGTTCCCCGATATTGTGACAGTGACACTTACCATCAGACAAAGTAAGCCTTGAATTGACTTTAGCTATATTTGATTTGTCATGAAATTATTTGGCATAAAATTGGAAACTTGTTTTTTACTGGCAAAAGATTTCGACGGTACTTCAAGACTTTAACACGAGTTTTGTATTGCAAACAAGAGAAAAGAAACGCAAATTCAAACTAAAATTCGCTTTACATCTTATCAATAATTGATCCTGATGTTTTATGCTTGTTTTCTTCAAAGTTCAATGTTCTCCGTTCAGCGTATAGTTGACCTTCAAGCTTGGGAGAAGAGGTTCTAAGAGCTCATTTGTCATAAAAACAAGCTATACACCGATGTGTTTTGTTATCGCGAGGAAATCAATCATATTAGTAATATTTTGTAAGAAAGGCATACTCTCTTCCCAATATGATTTCTCAGTTCGGCACGATTCTTTATGATTAAATTAATTTTCCTGCATTATTTAGTTGAGAATTTTAGAGTGAATAAAAACTAAGGAACACTTCTATTCGAAGAGAGCAAAATGCAGGGTTGTAACTGATGACTATCGGAAATAAAATGGAGGGCAAAATATATCATATCGGTTAGGCATAACAACTTACGAATTATAGCGAAACTTTTCTACAGCACATTTGAAATTGCGCTATATTGATAATTTTTAGTTAAACTAAAAAGGTGAACTGTGGTAGGATTCCACGGCTCGTCTTCAGAATATATCAAAAATTTAAAAGGTTTGAGGTTTTCTTTACATTTACCGTAAGTTTCAGGGCTCTCTTAGCATTTTTACTTATATGAGATATTTTTTACGCACTAATGAAAAAATAAAACCTTAGGCGAGCTAAAAGGATTTTACCAGACAAAACAACGTACCATTTGGCTATGGAGATCATTCCATATCTCTTGACCACAGCTCAGCATCAATGGCGTCATCCAGATGGACGCTGTAAGTAGTAATAATATATATATATATATATATATATATATATATATATATATATATATATATAGATAAATAATTGCTTTTCGCGTATTCTTCGATTCTGTTTCGGCATAAGTGTACTTTAATGTCAAACTGCTGAATATTCTATAAACTTGTGAACATCAGAAAATATGAACATGACTAATCGATTTTTCATATAGTATAAGCCAAGTTGTTCTTGTTGACTTTTTCTCAATAAAACAGGTCATATCTTACAGGTTTACATATCATAAATCTTCGAACTTTATTGCTAATCAGAATAAGGGAAGACGAATTGAAGAAAGAAAGTCATGCTGTGTTTTAGCGTAATGAAAATTGAAATAAACACCGGTTGCAATATAATACACTTTAATAAGATTTATCAACATTTCGACTACCTGAAACAAAAAAAAACAAAACAAAACAAAATAAAACAAAACTAAACCAAACTAAACAAAGCAAAGGAAAACATCAGCAAAAAACAAATATCCGAATGAAGTTCGGCGGGGTAATTTGCGCTGTAAGAAAAGAAAAACACGTAGCATTTCAGCTTGATAAGAGTGAAAATAATGATAGGCAGGAGACCATGACAGGCACAATGGTAAGATGATGAAATCGAATACTTATTTAGGATAAATTCACACTTGACTCATAAAGAGCAAAAAAAATCAGACAAAAACAAGCAGCTCACTACGTTATATATAGAATACTGATTGATTTGCTTAGAATTTCCTTTCCGTTCCTCTATACTGCTGGCAGGGATCAAGTAAGATTTATGTCAAATACAAATTAAAAGCGAAGCGACGCACAACTTTATAGAGTGACCTTGGAAATGCAAATTTCAAGTTAAATGAAAAATAATTTTGAGACAGATGTTTCAAAAAGGTGTAAGTTTCCTGCCCTTGTCCTTCCTACGATGAGACTTATCATCGTGTCATACTCTTCACAGTTTGTACACACACATGCAGTTATTCAGAAACATTAGTTATTTGACATATTTCTTTTGTTTATCTTATGTCATTGAGGACACTTAACGAGCAACTGGCAGACGGTTTCTTTTTTGTTTTGTTTTCATTAGAACTACATTAAAGAACTTTGAATGTATTTGCCTCGTTGAATAATTTACGAGGAGAACTTTGGTGTTGCTAGGACACGGATATTACCCACCTCAATTTTCAGAGTCGACGATAGCTCTTTTTACCTGAAATTTGCATTTTTATCAACGCTTTTCTAGCTTTCTGGTGTTTTTAATGGCAATACTCTAACAACCCAAGTGTGCCAGATTGAATCTATTACAATTTAACCTCTAAACAATCTATAACGGTATTCTGCAGATCTCAAGCCATTAGTGGAATGAATAACAGCAGCAAAAATGCCACACATACCTCAGAAACAGCAGAAATTACGAATATGGAATTTTCATCCTTTATTTTGTGGTGCTTTGCTTTCGGAGCAGTGGGCATTATTGTTATCATCGCAAATACCATTACAAT